GCTTGACATGCAATATCTGCAGTCAATAGTTTGGTTGTGTGGTTCTGCTACTTAGCCCTATGGAGGTGGGTATGGGCAGATATGGTGACACAGGTGAAACCCAGGGTTCCCATACTGGGTCTTGGGCTACTCCTAACTGGCAAACAATACTGTTTTATAAGCATGAGAGAGTCGTGGGGAACAAAGGATTCTGGGGCCAGGCCAAACTAACTGAGGAAACTGATTAAAGCTAGAAAGAGGCACAGCTTGGAGACCTAGCTCACAGCAGCCCACAGCACACACTGTGAGTTAAGGCTGTTAGTGTAGCTGTGGCTGGGACTGGCCACCTTCCGGGAGCCTCCTTGCCTGCAGGGCAGAGCAGTTTGGCTGGTGAGTATTTAGTAGAGATAGCCACTAGGTGTCACTGTCCTACCAGCATCTGTCCAGGGAATGGCACTGACTGATGGCCAGCTCCAGGTAGGTGGGTGTTTGTCTTTTGTTTTGTTTTTTCATTTCCATGCTTGTAAACGTTCAAGGCAGAGGAGCATCTGCTCCCACACTATGGGGAGAGGGCGTTCTTTAATTTACTGTCCCAGACAGTGTGAGTCTCTGGCTGTTGTGATGCCAGGGGTCTTTTTTCATGGCTTAAGGGCTGCCCACAACACTGGCTGCTGATTAGACTATTAGGAACACTATTGTAAGAAGAGGCCTTAGAGATCTTGGAGTCAGAGTCTTAATTTTTTTAAGAGGCCCAGAAGGCAAAAGATTTTCCCCAAGGATATACATCTGAATAGACAAAGAACAGACCTGAACCTTAGGTTCAGTGCCAGGCTCTGTCAACTCCACCACCGTGTTCCCTGTTTTACACTATGCTCCATCAACTGTACTCTTACCATTCATGGGGCAACCGTTGTATGCTATGATCTTTGTAGCTGAACCGAACTGGACACTTGTATAGATATAAGATGCCCTGGCATGTGATAGACCCAGTCAGTGCATGTGTGATGGGGCATCATAGCTAAGGAGCAGGTCATTTCCCCCCTTTTGATCAAGAGTGCTTTGCCAAGACCATCCACTTTTTCTGCAAAAAAATGACAAAGGATTCAAAGATGATGGGCAGACAATCCATAATCAAAAGATTATTACACACACACACACACACACTCACCCACCCTGAGGGCACAAGCAAATTACATGAAGAAGTTGCCCAGATGCCTATGTTTTCTACCCATTTCTATGCCTCCTGCTCTAAAGCAGCATGCATCTATAGTCAGTTGACTGAGGAAGAGAAGGAAGAGGAGGGTCTGGTTTACTGATAGTTCTGCACACTATGCAGGCATCACCTAGAAGTGGACAGCTGCAGTGTTACAATCCCTCTCTGGGACAGCCCTGAAAGATGCCATTACAGGGAAATCCAGCTCAGATGATACCCAGTACAGGGTAGAAGCTGCAACTGTGACCACCAGGGGGCAATATTTCATCACATTAGGCACTGAAGAAAGTTACTTTGGGATCTTTTTAGGGATCAGAGTGTCTGTAATAATGTTCTGGGTGCAGAAAATGAATAAGCCTATCAGTCTGGACTTGGAATCTACCCCTCAAAGGCAGTCATTGTATTGTCTTGTCTGTCTCACCAGCAGCTACAGCACTGACCCTGCTGCAAAACCAAAGAGGCATCTCTGTGTTCATCTATCTTGCGTGGGGCCCTTCTGTGGTCCACAGTTACTCAGGGTTACTCTGAGAGGATTTTGTGGTCTCAGATGGAAGGGTATAGAGTTCCATGGAGGTGGGCTATACAAGTCTCAGGAGAGCAACCGATATGTCCAAACACGTGTAGATGTCACAGTGTGGAAGGTTGCACACTGCTGCCCGTGGTTAGAGTGACTCTAGTCTGTGAACCCCAAGCCAGTCTTGCTTTTCCTCCTTTGCCTAATAGTGGGCTGCAAACCTGGGTCCCATTGCCCATTCTGCATTCATCTTTTGTGCTGTGCCACAGCTGTGTGCCATTGCCGCACTCCTTATTGACCATTCTGCTGGGATATTAAGCACCCTGGGCTTGGCTGGGGGACCATTCATCAACAACCTTGTCAGAATGATGGATTCTGTTAGGATTATTGCTTAATTAGCTTTTGGGGGCAAGAAAATCAGCCAGGACATTAGCTTTCAGCAAGCCAGAAGGAAAGGGGAAAGTGAGGGGAGGTGGTAGGAGCCTTGCAGCTCTCTTAGGTAGTACCTGTGTCTTGAGCAGGCTGGTGTGTGTGTGGGGGGAGGGGATGTGCTCTAACCAGAGCGAACCTTATGCTTGAGTTCACCAGACATATTGTCCTCTGGCTACCAAAGCCGTGAGAGACACTCATGCTGTGGCACCACAGAGTAATGGTTCCTGACCATATCATGCCAGGACCACATCCACTCCCAGGGGAGCCTTAAAAATTCAGATTCCCAGGCCTGGGTTTGAATTTTCTCGATCAGCATCTTGGAAGATTTTTGTTTTGATTTGAAGACAAGTTATTCCAGATGGGTTTTGTTCACAGTACAGTGTGGGAGCCACGACCTTGAAGGTTTGAGAGTTACTTAAGCCTGGCAAGTGATGAGCAGGTTGTTTCTTTCCAGCAGATGCATTTCACAGGGCCTAGGGGTAGGCTTTAACCACAGGGTGCCTCCCAGCTTCCTTGCAAGTCAGTTCTCCTTCTCCCACACTTCCTTGCTGACCCTCTCTTGGCACCAGGCACATTTTACACCCCTCTGTATCTTCTTTTTCTAGCTGGAAGGGGCTGGAAGCCTGAGAGTGGCTTTGCAGAGAGAATTCCAGACACATTTGCAGGTACGATTGGCTAGTGTGGTGCTTGGAAGGCAGAAGAAAAAGCTGCATTACCCAGGGAAGCTGGGTCCCAGAAAGCAGCTGAAACCATATACTCAGTGTTTTTGTTTGGTGTGTGTGTGTGTGTGTGTGTGTGTGTGTGTGTGTGTGTGTGTGTGTGTGTGTAACTCCTTTGCTTTGCTTCTCCTTAAAACAGAAGTGAAGCCAAGCTTGCTTCTCAGCTCCCCCAGGTCCACGCAAGATAAAGGTAGTATTCACAGAAGGCAATCACAGAGGCCTTGTCACCAGGGCACCGTGACAATCTGGCAGTGCTGTGAGCATCTGAAGTCCTTAGGGCATGACACTGCCTTTGCGCTGGGGCCTTTCTTGACCTTTGCTGAGGTATGCAGAGAACACCAAGGAGTACAAGCATGGAACATTCTGGTTGCTCTGTCCTGTGCTGACAGGCTGGGTAAAGGATCTCCAAACTCCAGACAGAAAGGGTCTATGTGTCATGTCATGGCCACTGTCTGGAGCTCAGTATGACCTGAGTCACCATTTCAATCAATTGGCCAAATAACCTTTCCACCTATGTCTTGCTACTTTAATGATAAAATTAAAGCCTGGCTCCCAAGCAGAGCCTCAAGAGGGAGGAACCTGGTCTGAATTGTTGTGGACATCAGTCTAGTCAATGCAAAAGAGGCTTGGTCAAGCCCAGGACTGTTCACTGTTGACGCTGTGGCTGTAAAATTAACTGTTCTTTTCCTGGTCCCTCAAACCTGAGCAGGCTCAGAAGGAGCACAGGGTAGCATGTGGCCAAGGCAGCTAAGAAAGTAGGTGTGCTGGATTTTCTACATAGATATTCAGAAGCAGGTCACCTTTGACCTTCCTCAGGGATGGCTGGTTCAGTCTTCTGGATTTTTCCCTTATAGCAGAGCTTATGTTGACCCAGGGACCCAATATTTTTGCATGCAAAAGATCTTATAGAGCAGGGCAATGCAGCTCATTAGTGATGTCATTCTAAATTCCATGCAGGGGACATGAAATGATCAAGAACTCCCTGCCAAGTGTGTATTAGTTGGTATGTTTGTTTGTATACTAGATGTGGTCACTTCCAAATGGTGACCTTGTTCTTGTCATGAGTGTGTGTGTATGCGTGTGCGCGCCTCGGAGCAGTTCTGCCCATGCCATCCATTTTCTAATGGGGTCCTCTCATAAAGTCACATTTGGGAAGGTTTTCATCTTTCTGTCCTTTCCACGCAGACATTTGCTGTTCTTATTGTGGCTTAAATCCAAAATGTCTCCTTAAAGTTCATGTATTGAATGAATATTTGTTCTCCACCAGATGGTGCTATTTTTGGAGGTTGCGGGGACCCTCAGGAGGGTAGGGACCTAGCTGAAAGGTATAGGTCTCTAGAAGTAGGTTTTGAAGTCCATATAGCCTGGCTCCTGGTTCTGGTCCACTATGATGTGAGGAACCTGTACTGCATGCTCCAATCACTATGAACATTGCTATCCGTTATCTATCACAGTAGACTAAAAGTACACTATACAATGCATCAAAATAAATAAACCTTTCGTCCTGGAAGTTATTGTATTAGGTATTCTGTCACATAGATGAGGAAAACAACACGGTTCCTCACTGGGAGATGCTTCCAGAGTTGAGCTCTTAGATGGCATATATACCAGAGGAGGGTCTGGTCTGGTTATTTTCTGAAATGACTATGATTCAAAATGACCCTTTGGAGATACCCAAGGACCACATGATGAATAGGGAGGAGGAAGGTGCCTCCTTTGCTGGCTAGACTGCCCTTTCCCTAGTTGTGCTTTTAAAGCCAGACCTAAGATTCTTCGTTTGCACCAAGAGTCCTTTGTGGAAATAGATTTTATTTTGCCATTTAGCTGTGAAACAACTAGGATGCAAATAGAAAAGAATATGATTATTGGCAAACAACACGAACAGACCATTCCTGGGTCACCAATGCCACCTGGGCAGAGGATAAACTAAGTCTGTATGGCTTTTCCAAGAAATGGATCCAGCGAGATGGTAGTGTAGGTTTCTTCCTCCTTTATCACCATGGACACACCTTGCTTTGATTTCCCAGATGTCAGCAAGTGTTCTGATGATCTAGTGGCCTTGGGTTTACCCAAGGAACCCAGCTAGGAAGTCAGCCCAGGCTCTTGAAAGGTATTCAAATGCCAGGCTTGGCTGTATAACTGGCACAGGGATGGGTTGACTCCATTTCAAATGCCAGGCTTGGCTGCAGACCTGTGACAGAGTTGGCACAGCTCCATGGAGGAGGAAGCCAGTTCCTTGAGTGACCAGGAGCTTGTCCTAGAGAAACAGAGACACTCATAGGCAAAAGGTTCCAGGGAAATAAAAAAACCTGTACCTTTCTTCAAGCAACCATGGAGGCCCAACCCCATCCCCACATGTGGGCCAGCAAAGAAAGCCTGGGCATTTCCTACTACTAGCTCCCTCCCAACAAACGGGGATGCTCTTCTCTCATCAAAATTCTCAGAAGCCACATCCCATCTGCTTCCCCCTGCCTACGGTTGGAATCTAAGCCACAGCTCACCTGGCTGTGTGTGCCTGCAGCACTATGGCGGTCACCCCCTCATTTGTCCTGCCTGGGGCAGACCAGAAAGCCAGCTCTGCCCTCTGCATTCTGTCCTGTGTGCTCCAGTCTTCTGGCTGTGAATTTCTGCAGACGAGTGTCTGTGGCTCAGATTGAGTGACAACCTGCATAGATATTCCCCTGCAACTGTAATTTGTCCCTGCCCACAGCGGTTAGGAGCTCCAGTTTTCCTTCCCAATTGGTCTCCTGTTTCAAGACCTAGACATTTGACTTTCAGGCCTTTCCTGGCTTCTTAGATTTATTTTCTAGTAAGAATTCAATTTAACACATATAATTTGAAAACTCAATCATCACTACAAGCCATGAAGGAACAAGGGCAGATGGCTGTATCCCTTCCTGTCCTCAGTTCTCCTCAGACTTGCTTTGGAAGCCTCAGTCTACATTTCTAAATACTCAGCTCAGACGGTGGTTCCCTTGCCTGGCAATTTTAAATGCCCATCGATTTCTGTGATGGAAGATGGAGCTGGGTGTTCCTCACCCACTTTTATATCTCTACCCTCTCTTCATTCTTCTAATATATTTATATTCCACTTTTTGTTAAATCAATATTTAATTTCTACTTTATTACAATTATATATGTACTGTTCACCGCCAAGTGAAGAAATACTCTTGGATCACATTTCCTTTCTTCTGTAACTTTTTGTTCTTCCAAGAGTTACTAATTGCCTCATTTTTTTTTGTCTGTATAGTCTGTCATTATCTTAATAATTCTTCCTAAAGTCTCCAGAAGAATTTCAAAGCCCTCTGAATGATGAAGTCATCCAAGGAACTATTCTGGTTTATTCTTCCCTCAGTTCACCTTTCTGTTTCTGCAGGGCCACTTGCTCTCTGAGCTGTATTTAATTCTGCTAAGTGTACTTTTCTATTGGTGGAGTTCACCAGTCTGGATCCCACCCTACCCTCTCAGAGGGTGCATGTTCATTTCTCAGCTGTGCTCATTTCTCTTCCAAAGCCAGCCCAGAAAGCTGGACACTGATTTTCTGGGGTGACTGGAAACCATGCTGTCTATATTTTTTAGTGGGATCTGGAGTTTTCAAGTTAACAGTGGAAAATCCAGACTCCTAACTCTTAATAAGACCTATATGGAAGTTTGATTCAAATTTCTGATAATCTTATCTGTTGTGTTGCCAGTCTTCAACCCAAAGTCTAGCCATCCATCTCAGAGGGATTTCTTGGTCTGAAGGTTAGGAGAGATGGATTTATTGAGGTAGAAGCAGACCCACTCTGAGGAATAGTTGACAGCAGTCAGCAAGATCAGGGTCATTGCTGACTCTTTTTCACTTTCTCAGAACTAAAGATTACTGGGCAGTAGAAACTGTTACAAATACCAACTTTGTTAGAAAGTTCTACTGCCATATTGTCAATGCGTCAACATGGATGTAGATGGCACTAGCCAGATGAGCTCTCAGAAAGATGCAGTTCACAATGCATTAAACCTACAGACTCTGAAATCTGTTTGAATCAACATGGCCTCACCTGTCTTAATGCACCACTGGCATTTAACAAGCATATTACCTGGAATGTGGCAGTGGAGGTACATGCCTTTTTCAAAACAAACAGAGTCAAAGGGAGAGCAGAAGACTTATTCAGCCTGGCTGTGCTTGCTCACACCCTAAGCTAAGTCACAAGTGAGAGGGGTGCTAAGGATAAGGCAGAGATAGAGGAAAATACAATTCTAACAATGGTAGTACAAGCCAACCTACTCCACAAGTCTAGGCTATACGAAAGGCTTTTTGTATAGTTTATAGAATGTGACCCAGAAACAGAATGGCCTGGCAACAGTGTTCTATTATTTCCTTCTCTGGGGAAGAAGCTCATGTAGTGAAAATGACAAATCCTTTGCTTATTCCAGCAACGATATGACTGAATTAACAAGCTCTGGATAATGACAATACCAATAGAATACTAGCCCAGAAGGGGGCAGTTTTATAGGGTCCCAAGCCTACACAAAGAACTACAGGCAACTAATGACTGCTGAGAAAGGGAGAGCCATTCGCTCCCAGTGATGAGTGCCCTAATTGTTTATCCCTGAAATCATACACTCACAAGCAACACTCAAGAGTCTCAGCAGGTTGTCGTTATGTATTTGTGCATTTACATATGCATAGATGTATGTAATTATAATAAAAGAAGAGGCCATCAATTTGAGAAGGAATGAAGATGGGGACATGGGAGGGATTAAAGGGAAGTAGGGAAGTGATGTAATTGCATTTTAATTAAAATAAAATTTAAAAACAAAAAAGCACAATTTCTTTTGAAACCTGGGAAATTATTACTGAATGATTCTCTCTTCCCACACTTTACTTTGTGCTCAGGTAGCAACAATTAAGATATATGCAGGCTTAGCATCTATCAGAGGGTTATGATCATCAAGCAAATAATTAAAAGTGTATTAGCCAACTACAAACAGATTGGAGGTTTCTAAACTGATGGGTGGTATATATTAAAACCTCAGAGTTAAATGCGACATCCACATCATACCCCCTTCTCCCAAGGCTCAGGGATCATTGTGGAAGACAGGGCAGAAAGAATGTAAAAGACGGAGGTGGCAGAGCACTGCTGTGAAACACTGTCTTCCAGACATGACAGGGCAGTTGTTCATATGAGCTCACAGGAGTTGTGACAGTAAGACCCACGCAAGGTCAAGGTAGACAAAATCCCAGCATGTAGTGAGAGGTGGTCACAAAAGCCTGCCCCTAGCTGAGGAGCTATTGGCTCAGGCGGCTGAGAGAGGGAGAGTCTGTCTTCTTCAGAGATGTGTCCCTTGAGAGGCTACTCAGGTTCCAGTAGGTGGTCCTAAACCCAGGTACATATAGATAGCACTAAGTAGACTTAGTAGGTTAAGCAAGCAAACAAATAAATGAGCACACTAACTTCAAAGGGGAAAGTGGCTCAGAGAGGCATGGGAAGAATTATAGGGGAGGCAATGGGGGATAGATCTGATCAAAACACATTTATCTGCATGTATGAAATTCTCAAATAATGGAGGGAAAAATCCATCATCCACACAAATATGCATAGTCCTGGACATACTCATTTCTGAATGAAATTTCGATGCAATGTTTTCTGAATACTAAATAGACTGTCACCTAGACATGAACACATACAATCCAACCGCTGGACACATAGCTGGAAAGGCACCATAGTAAAGAAGGAAAATGACAGACAAGGCTTTTAAATTCCCCCTTGCTATTAAGTAACCTTATCAATTGTAAAATGGGTACAATATCATACGGTATTTGTTGTAACATTAAGAATACTACATTGTAATGCCCATTTTAAAAAAAAAACCTTTAAATTTAACATTATATGGAATAGTGAAAGACTGGGTACTTTTGCCAAGATCAGGAACATAAAGATGTCTGGGGTTTGTTTGTTTGTTTTTTAATTTCTGTTCAAAATTATAGTAAAAGTCCTATCAGGGATAATAAATCAAAGAGAAAAAAAACACCCAGTAACAAAAATCCAAACCAAAACAAAAACCCAAAGTGATAAGTAGATACAATTTAGATAGTAGAAAAATAAAAATTTCAGATATGATTTTATATCTTCAAACTCTGAAGAGATCCCTTTAAAATCAGAGCTAAAGGATTAGTTTAGAAAGGTTGTAAGATGTAAGATCAGTTTACAAAACTCAATGTATTGCTAAAACCTAGCAATGGATAGGTCAGAAGGAGGGTAAGAAAACAATTTCACTTACAATAGCATCAAAAGGATTACAAAATTCAGGAGTCAGGAAACACAGGTGCACAGATCTTCCATACTGAAAACAGGAAGGTAAAGATGCAAAAAAGGAGGTGTGTGCTATGTCCATGGATTCAAAATCTTGATGTTGTGAATATGACATTTCCCAATTAATTTAATACTTAATGTGATCCCTATCTCCCGTGTACCCCCAGAATTGGACTGGGAATATAGACTAAATCCTTACAGTATGATGAGTTGATGTTCAAAGACAGTAAGATGGTAGAGGTACTAGTCTTTATCCATGGGTACAGAGAAAAGCAGACGTCCACATGTGAAAGAATAAAACTAGACTCCTGCTATATGCAGGCAAAAAGTATATTACCACAAAATAGTTCAAAAGCCTAAATGACAAATGCTAAATTGCAAAAAAAAAAAAAAAAAAGTTACAAGAGAATCAGGCTAGATCATGACCCTTGAGATCTACAAACCAAAGGATAAATAACTAAAGAAAAATAGAAATGGTAGACCTAATCAAACCTAGAAGCTTATGAATTTCAAATGATACCATCCAAAATTGAAAATACAAAAAACAAACAAACAAACAAACAAACAAAAAAACCCAACAAAACCCCCCCATAGAAATACAAAGTGGGGAGGATCTGGGAAGAATTGGGAGATGGGGGAAATATGATAAATATATTACATGACAAGTTTTTAATTAAAAATGGAATAAAAATTAAAATGGAAAAGACAACCTTAAAGAAGAGGAGAAAATTGACAAAAACATATATGATAAGTAACTAAAATATGAAAATAAGTCTCACAACTCAGTGGCAAAAGATTTGATTATACAACTCAATTTCAAAATGCAAAAAGGATTTGAATAGAATTCTCTAAAGAAAACATACAATTAAACCATAATCAATGGGAAAGAGGCTAAGCATCATTTGACATCAAGGAAGTGCCAATCAAACCCACAGTGAGGTACCAATTCAAACTCATAGAGACCAGACAACACCAAGTGCTGCTTAAAATCCCATTCACTGCTGCTGGGACACTCCTCAGAGTGTCACACAAGTTACCATGTGATCCTTCAGGCTCATCCCTAGCTATATAGCCAAGTGAAGTGAAAACATAAGCACCTCGAAGCTCACCTACAAACATCCACACATGGTAATTAATGATAGTCTCCACAAAGTACAAATAACTTCAACGTCTACCAGTTGTTTAATGATGAATCAAATATGGTGGATTATCAATGCTCAGAATTAAAGTGAAACGAAGACTTCAGGCATGCTTCATTTTATGATTCCACTTGCATGAAACACACAGAATAGGCAGATCTACAGAGTCATAATGTAGACTAGTGCTTTCCTAAAACTCAAGGTTGGATGCAACTGGTGACTGCTGGGGGAATATTATGTTTCTTTATATGGAGATGAAAAGTGCTATAAAATTATATTATTGGAATGGTCATGCAGTCCTGCAATTATACTAAAGCCACAAATATAACACATTTTGACTGTTTGTTTGTGACAGTGTCTCATCATGTAGTCTGGCAGGCCTGGAACTCACTATGCAGCCTAGGCTGGATTGGAATTTGTGGTCTTCTCCCTCTGCCTCCTGTGCTTTAAGTTGCTATATGTGTACCACTGTGTCTAGCTTAAATCCCAAAATGTAAGTGGGTAAAGCTTTATGCTGTGCATTGCATTTCAACAAACCTCCCTAAGCATAAAGGAAGAAAATGACAAGAAAACTACATGTTGAGTGTTATAACCAGGGAAATGTCAGAAATTTTATGGCAGTTGCCAGTTGGGCTATAGCAAGAAATGGCTGGTGTTGGGCTACTGATAGCCAGGGCAGAGCACACAGTAAGGCTTGAGATCTGAGGCTTGGAATAACAGAGAATAGAAGGAAATGGAATTGTCCACATATGGTGGGTGTAGACAAAGGAACAAAGTGTGTTGTGGTCAGATGGATGGGCAGGGGCAGATGGTACATCAATTCAGGGATTGATGTTAAAGACTCTAGAATTACCTTGTATAGCAAGAAGGGGATATGTTGAAGAGTTTTCACTTGGGGAATGTGGTAAATGGATTTGACTTTTTAAGAGCATAACTATGGCTTCAGGAAATTGATTTGAGGGATATGAATAGATAGAGAAACGTAAGAGCAAACGCCAATGCAAAATTCAGGGAGACAGATGATTTCTGAGAAATCCAAATAGAAATACTTTTAAGAGAGAGTAGGAAGTGAGGATGTGGAGACAATTAATTCTTTTATGAAGTTGGCTGTAATGGGAGGAGAGGGGATGTAGTAGCTGGAAGGGATTATGAGGTGGGGGAAATTCAAAAGACACATTTAAATGATGCTTAGAAAATTCCAGAAAATGGGGAGAAGGAGGGAGAGAGAAAGAAAGAGAGAGAGAGAGTTAGAAAGAGAAAGAAAATATTCAGAAGATACAGGAGAAAAGTCATTCAAAGGTGATGGTAATGAATTACGATGAATTATGGAACAACCTCAGAGGGAGACACTGTGTAATAGCACATGGGGAAGGGGTGGCACTAAAGCGGGTGGTTTTGTACATTTTCAGGCAGAGCTTCTTCATTTTCCTGACTCCAATTCCTCAGTGAGCTCATGAGCCATGTGTGAGAGGATATGTGCAGTACTGTGTCAGAGAGTAGCTATAAACAAGGAAGAGGGACCACCCTCAGCATAATGACAGGCACTAAGGCAAGAGACAAATACATATGCCTCTCATTTATACTCCCTCCCTGTACACGCTTCAGAACAGGAAACTGGGAAAAGTGTGACAAGAGAACTGGGGATCCCCAGAAGAAGATAGAGAAAATTCAGCGACCTTAAAAGTTCAAGGATGTGGACTGTGTACCAATTTAGCTTCAAGACATTAAAGAGTCACCCTTTACATTAAACCCATGCAGACTACGGTAGGCACAATAAAACTAGAAATGATCTATTTTTTTAAAAAGGAGTGAAAGGGGAATTCAATGCAGTTGAGTAAAATTGGTTCTTGTCAATTTGTAATCACTAGTAACCATCAAATGTTCATCAGGAAGTATTGATGCTCAAATATTATATCTTTATGCAGAGTTGCTTTCTCACAGTTTCAAGGCATACACATGATTCATAGATTATACAAAGACTATTTCCAGAAGTAACAACATTTCAGAGGGTCTGGTGGTGAATTTTGATTATCAACTGAATTGGAGTAAGAAGCATCTATGGATTGGTAGGGTGCTTTTTGGGTGTGTCTGTGAGGGTATTTCCAGAGAGGACTGACTGAGGGAGTAGGACCTGTTCTGAATGTGTTAGGGGAGGTACCATCCCACAAACTAGGTCCCACACTGAACACAAAAGGAAAAAATGACAACCAGTTGAGTATGTGAGTTCATCTTTCTCTGTTTTCTGCCTGTGGATGCAAAGCACCAACCACCCCAAGTTCCCACTGCCATACGTTACCTACCATGACATACTATGTCCTTTAAGACAGAAATGAGCCCTTTCTTCTGTTAATTGCTATTGTCAAGCATTTTGCCACAGCCACAAGTTGCTAGAAGAGAGGTCATTGACTACAGTATTGTTTCATGGAGAACCAACAGTGGTAACTAAATAAGAGAGGCTTGGGGTCAGGCAGCAGAAGTTTCTTTGAAGACCTCAAGGTCTGGAATGTCCAGTCTTTTTTTTTTTTTTTTTTTTTCTACTGTGGTCTAGGGAATAGAGTTTCTACAGAAGCATGATAGAATTTTTCAGAGACCTAGATACTTGTCTCTAAATAAGGAATACATAGACTTGAAGAGTTCTAGAAAGTGGGAGCATGAAGTTTCAAGTTTATCAGAATTCTAGAACACTTACTCAGCCAGAATTTCTGCTATGGAAGGACTGGGCAATGTGATAACAGACCTTCTGTAGGTCTAGTTTGTTCCACAGAAGTCAAAGAGGAAATGGCAGCATGCTTCTTGTTGAACATGGACTAGAAGTATAAATGACAACTAGTATACAAACCCACTACTGTCCAAAGCCAGCTAGGCAGTGGTAGAGCTGGGGTGGCCAGCTCTCCTTTCCTGCAAGGGCAACTGTTTGTGTTGTTCCACAGTATTCTATTTTCACCACTTCGAGTCCCTGCCTGGAATGAGTCATCACCCTTTCTCTTTGGAACATTAATTAAATGTTGTAAATTTCTCATTCATGACTTTCTGGCTGCTCTCTTCGTGAATGTGTCTGGATGAAATCTGAGCATTTGGCCTTGAAACTCGGGAGCCATAAGCAGCAGGGCCTTGGCTCATAAAATACACTTTCTGGTGTCTCTGAGAGGCTGTCTCCAAGGAGTCTTATGTGTCATTCTTAGAAAAGAGGGCTACTGTTCATAAGAAGAAGAAAGGACTCCAATGGTGCCATGTCTTACCTGGTCCAGAGGGCTTGACTGCACTCTTCATCTCAGCCATACATGACCAGGTTCATCCACTGAGAAATAAGCATCATCATTAGAATGATATTCTCTTTCTCTCCCTCCCTTCTCTCTGCTGTGTAAATCTCCACATATGCAGATTTCCTGCACATGTAAAATACATGGGTTTGGGGGCAGATTTTAATGTTAGGTATCTTCCTTACTTTTTGAAATGGGGTCTCTCATTGAATCTAGAGTTTACCAATGGGGCAAGGCTAGCTGTCCAGTGAACTTTTTGGATCCCCCTGTCTCCATCTCTCCAGGGCTCTGGTGTTGTAGGCATGTACCCCCATGCCTGGCTTCTTACATGGGCACTAGTGTTCTAAACTCAGGCCCTCATGCTTGTGTGGAAAGTACTTACTGCCTGAGCCCCAGCCCTGTGCAACCAGTTTTTAAAGTGGCCCATTTAATGTGGAACAGAGCAAATATATACCCTCTCCCTTGGAAGATCTCAGTCCAGCCTTCCCCGCTAATTCCACCCTCAGTGCTCTGTCACAGCACATCGTTCCCCAAACTTTCTAGGTAACTTTACAGTCCTCCACTCTACCACCTGAGCAATTGAAGGGTATATATTATTGTCTAAATAGCCCAGCAGAGAGAGGTGTATGCGGGTTGACCAGCTGGCTGGTTAGATAGCTCTAAAATTCAGGCTTAATGTATAGTGAGCTTGGTAGATTGTTCTTTACTTCTGTCTTGGATTTATGACTCCCACATAATCCTCTGCTTTATTAAGCTATTGGAAAAAAATAAAATCTCTCTGCCAAGATCCTAAAGCAGCCTGGCAGCCTGCAATATATAAAAGCAGTAATTGGAGGCAGCCACCCCCCGCCCCCAGCTTAGCTGGCCGCTGACAGAGTATTTAATACCCTGGGGAGGAAAATGTCCTTTGGAACCGAATCAGGAGAATGTAGCCTGGGACTGTGCCTGGTTCTGGGAGGGGAAGGTGCCTCACCTCCATTTCTGTCAGGTAGACTCCTTTGCCATCCTTGGAGAGGTTGCGGAATGCCTCTAGGGTAGAGGAAGAAAGGTTTTGACTGGATGGCAGGCCATGTCCTCACTGCCCGCAGAGCATGCCTCTGCTCCATTCTCCTGTTTGGTCCAGCTCTATGCTCAGGACGGCTGTGATTATCCCACCTCTCTCCTTCCAGATCTCACTTTGTCTTGTGGGGGTGAATGGGCTGATTTTCTGTTTTGTGTTTTTAAACAGGGTTTCTCTGTGTAGCCCTGGATGTCCTGGAACTCTATGTAGACCAGGCTGACCTTGAACTCACAGTGTTATACCTGTCTCTGCCTCCCAAGTGCTGGGATTAAAGGTGTGTGTCACCATGCCCAGTGGGCTGGGTTTTGTTTGCTTGTTTGTTTATTTTTGTTTAATGGGCACAGTTAGGGATCTCCCTGATCCACAACAGGCTTCATGTTCACCTTAACATTCTATTCTATCAGTCTTCACTTGGAGCCTTGGGCTTTTCAGAAGTTCCGCATGGCTAAGGAAGTATCAGGATTCAGTGGTGTTTCTGAACCCCACTCTACTATCCCCACATTTGCAACAGCTGTTTTGAGCTGTTGATCTGGGACTTCACACAAGGGTTCACTTAGAACAAAAGCTGTTCTGCTAAGAAGTATGGAACTCTCTGTCCTCCATCTTTGGCATTCTATAGCTTGAAGAAAGACCTCCTGCTCTCAGGCATTCACTTTTGTGTAATTCTTTCACTAGAGACTGAATCCTTCACTGCATAACTAAAGAGCAGATTTACCTCTTAATATAATCTGGAGAGGGGACAGGGTGACTTAAGTGAATCACGATCTGAGACAGAGCCTGAAAAGGGTGAGGAAGCTGAAAAAGAGTTGGGACATAGGAACAGGAAAGGGTGTGGAAGGGAGGATGGGAACACAGATAACAACATTGGTTATCAGAGGCTGGTACTCTCTGGAATTCCCAGAGAATTCTCATGTCTGAGAATTAAAAACAACGAAATAGACATGTGGCGATGAGCAAAGGTAGAGAGAATTTATTAAGACAGAATATACGTTCATGATGCTCAGCATTAATGGACAAACTTGACAGAATCTAGAATCACTAGGAGACATAGGTGTCTGGGCTTGCCTGGGCACACAATACAATCTTGATTGTATTGAGGTAGGAACCACCATGGGTGGCATCATGCCCTGGCTGGGATCCTGGGTCCTAGACTGTGTAAGTAGGAACGGGAGATGCATTCATTGCTTTCTTCCTGGCTGCAGATGTAATATAACCAGTGGCTTCAAATTCTGGCTAACCTGTCTTCCCCAATTATAATCTACAACTAGGCGCCAGAAAGAACAAAAACAAACAAACAAACAAAAAACAGAACAAAAAGCCTCTTTTCCCTTCAGTTGCTTTGGCCAGAGTATTCTATCATAGCAACAGTGAAGGAAAGTAAGACAATTTGCAAGACAGGAAGTAGCCCAGTACATGGAGGAAGGTTAGAGGCTCAATAGCGTGGTGTTACGAGGGTAGTAACTCTTTTTGTCATTTGCATGGCATCAGTTACCACAGAAATTTGCATACCTGGGCTTTTTGTTTCCTTTTCCTTTCGAGAATGCACAATGTTTTCCATGTTGGCTTTGGTTGGGGAGGTTTCCAGTTATCCCCTTGGCCAACCTGTCCTTTCCTATGTTGACCTCACAGCAGCAGTATAGGGGATTTGTAGACCTCATTTTCTGCCCCATTCCTTGCCACAATACCACTCGCAGTCTCCCTGGCTGGGCCCTCTTAGATCCAGGGACTCCCCCAGCCTGCCACTCCTGAGTCTTCACCCAGGTGCTGGGCATCAGTGCTTTCCTGCCCATCTATTGAGTTCATTGGTTTCTGTGAGGTCTACAGAATGCCTCCAGGGTCACTTACTTGCCATGGTTTCCAGTCGTATGAGGAAGCAGACAAGACTGGAGAAGCTGACTCGGCCAGAGTTATCACTGTACCGGAATGTCATGAGACTCAGCAGCTCATTGCTGATGAAGATTCCTGAAAGGAAGTCTGAGATGGGAAGGGAAGTTGGTGAGCTGAGAGGAGACTGGAGATGGGGTGGTCCTCTGCCTCATGAGGCTAGATGAACTTGTTAAGAGGGCCCAGCAGCCTTGTATCACACCCCCTACTCAGTGCAGTATGTCAGCCAATCCCACCTCACTTGGAGTCTTGCCTTTTTCTTCCGATTTCTGGCTGTTGTGTCCTACTGTCACAAGCCTGCAGCTTGGCCAGAGACCCACTCAAGGGACTCAAGACACTGACCAGTGTGAAGACACATTTTCTTTTCCAATAATTAGATAATCCACATGTAGCATGGAGCTGCCAGGACATCTAAGGGCTGAAGTCCAGCCCTGCCTCTGCCAGGTTTCTCTTTGCTCGTGGTCATATTTAACTGTCTTCCAGCTAGACGTCAGAACTCTCTGTAAGTCCTGTATATGGGTGCTGCTCATGTGGCCTCCCTGCAAGAGGGAGACTCAGTTCTACAGTGCTCAGCCAAGGAAAGACTAGGGCGCAGAAGGGAGACCACAACTCAGAGGGTCACTGTAGCTGGGCAGAAGATAGGCCTCTTGCCCTCTTTCTTTGACCTTGTTATTTACATCTCTGGCTATAAGCTCCAGGGAGACACCAACCACATAGGTGACAAGTGCAGAGTGTCCAATAGTTGCTGCTCTGTTGAGTGGGCAGGCATTTGAAATCTATGCAGGGCCCATGGGCCCCATGTAATCAGAGTCACATTTGACTTCTACAGTAAAGCTAATAAAATAGGAACCAAATGCCTTCAGATGGGGCTTGATAGCTGCCTGCCTAGCTCTGAGAGCTTCTGAGTTGAATTGGAAGTGGTTTCCATTTCACCCCCTTATTTTATTCTGAGGTCACCAGGCTTCTCTGATGGTTTCATCTTTAACTGGCTCTTCAATGGTCCTTCAAGTGTGGCCCCATGTCAGTCACAGAAATTATGCCCTGGAACTTGCCAAAAATGGAGGGAAAGCTCAGCCGTCCTAGTTCTAGCAAGCCTAGCAAGGCAGCTCAGCTTGGAGTATCCCAGTCTTTTGCTATGCTGCAGACCTATAATGCTGCGGTGCAGCAGCTGGCCACCATCATTCAGGGGAGGAGCTCTGCTCAAACACAGAACAGTGTCTTGTATTTGTACCACTGTCTATGCCAGGAGCATGGGAAAAAGAATTATGGAGCTGCTCTTTCCACAGTTAACCTGGGGGAACATGATTCTACAGCTTATTAAGGAAGGTGGCCATTTCCTTACATAACCTTTATGTGATCTGTCTTCCTCACAGGTACAGTAGAAGCAATGATTTCTACCCTTCCTGGGTCGCAGCTGAGTGGAGACAATGGAACGAGGTGATGTGAACAGTTCTTGGAGAACTATGAAGCACTAATGTACCCTAAAGTATTGTTAGTGTTACCCTAGGGTGGAAAGCTTGTGCCGACTCGAAGCCAACACATGCCATTTGGTTTAATTTAGCCTTGAACCTTATGTGGAGAGAGAAAAGTTAGATCCCCAGCCTGCTGTAGGTATTCAGTCCAGACGGTGAGATGGAAGCTCCTGAAAGATGAGCTCCAGTCTGTGTAGGTTATCAGTCATGTGGGGAGTCCCCCCCCCCACATGACTCAGAGCTGTGTTGAGGAGAAAATGTGGCTGAGGAGACTGTCTGGTACAGGACTGCCCAGGCTGCAGTGGAGAGGTGGGAGCTCATATCTGAGACTAGAAACCCATCAAAGTCAATGTAGGTAGGAGAGAACAGAGAGCTAGAGCTCTCTATTCTCCCAGCCGTTCAGACTCAGTAGGCCAGCCATGATTATGGCATAATGGGAATATGGTCTTCATGCATGCCCCATGCCCCCAGTCATCCAGGCTCATGAGCCCCATGTTACCTGTACTCTCTATGACCTTCCATAGGTCTGAGCTCAGGAGAACTCCAGGGCTCCTCTGGATGGTCTGGAAAACATGCTGATGGGGAGAAAGAGGCAAGAAGCCTGTGAAGACCCAGAAGGTGTAGAGGGAGTCTCTGTGAATCTGTTCTCTACCCCCAGAGGAGGCCTTCCTAAAGTGTGCAAGGAGCCAGCTTGCAGAGAGGGAGAGGAGGGAATGGCACAAATGGGAATGACCACACCCCTTAAGCCCTTCAGTGTGGTCATGGCTGGGCCTGAAACTCTCTCTTGCAACCACTTCCTGTTCTCCCCTCACTCCATGAGTCATTTGGCTGTCTTTGGGAAAGCACAAGGTTTCTCTCTAGACCAGTGGTTCTCACCCTTTCTAATGTGCAAGCCTTTGACAGTTTTTCATATTGTGGAGACCGCCAACCATAAAATTATTTTTGTTGCTACTTCACGACTGTAATTTTGCTACTGTTAGGATTGTAAGGAAACTAATTTTGGAGGTGCAAATTTGCCAAAGGGGTCATGACCCACAGGTTGAGGACCTCAGCCCTAAAGGGTTTGTGCCTAGTAGTGGTTAAGAGCATAACCATAACAGATGATCTGCTGGGCTGAAGTTCCAATACAACTATTGACTAGCTGTGTAACTTTATTAATAAATCTTGATTAAGGTCATTCATCTCTCTAGGCCTCAGTTTCCTTATCTACAGTACAGGACTAGTTACAGTGACTACCTCCTAGGTTTTTTATAAGAAGCCAGGGAGCAAGCATCTATAAGGTACAAATCCATAAAGTGCCTGTCACTCACTAATATCTAAGTATGCATGTTCATATATGAAGCCCTTCACTTGTATGCTAGTGAGTGCTGTATAGAAAACATCAACAGCAGGCTAGAGCTGTGACCCAGCCCCAGCATGGCTGCAGAAAGTAGACAGCAGCAACCACTGTTGTACCACTCTTGTATTTACTGGAGTCTTTCCTCTCTGCCTAGTGTTCATTGTAATCCTGGTCCATGGTGCACTTCCCCCATGAGGAAACTGACCCTTGGGCAGGTGTAGACCTGGTCTTTGATTAAGTGGGCAGCTGCCCACAAATGAGTCCAGAGTGCCTGGCTGTGGTCAGTACACTACTGCCTCATGGGAATTTTCCCATGTCCAAATAGCAAATCCCAGGTATACAAGTCAAATCCAACTGTGTGTGTGTGTGTGTGTGTGTGTGTGTGTGTGTGTGTGTGTGTGTGTATGTGTGTGACAGTGACAGCTTGAGAACCTCCCGTTGGCCTTATTTGGTTACTGGTAGCTTTGAAGAGAGACTTCAAGTGGTTTCCATTACATTATCTCATTCACTTAGTAGCTGATTAGCTAGGCTATTTATTGAACAATTCTAAATCCTGCTGTGTTACACACACCATGGGGGTCTCTGGGGAAAGATGAACATGAGGAAGACCTTGCAATGGAGGACCTAGCAATGTAAAAGGTAAGAGGAGCCTATTGTTGTGGAATATTAGTTGAAGATTTGTTTATGCTGTGGAACATTTGTTTAATGATGCAAATGCTGCATTCTTTTATGTTGCCATGGTTTAACTATGTGAAACTGTGTTACTTTGCCTGTCTAATGAGGAGCTGAACAGCCAATAGCGAGTCAGAAGAAATAGGTGGGGCTGACAGGCAGAGAGAATAAATAGGAAGAGAGAGGAGGGAGGGGTGAGAAAAAGGAGAAGAGGATGTTGGGAGCCAGCCACCCAGCCACCCAGCCACATAGCCAGTCATGGAATAAGAAGGAAAGAAAAGGTATACAGGAATAGAGAAATGTAAAGCCCAGAGGCAAAAGATAGATGGGATAATTTAAGTTAAGAAAAGCTGGCTACCATAAATGCCCTTCCCTGATAATGAGACCGACGACTAACTTATCTACCATCATGAAGCCCTCATCTAGTAGCTGATGGAAACAGAAGCAGACACCCACAACTAAACACTGAGCCGAACTAGAATCCAGATGCAGAGAGGGAGGACAAGACCAGGCTACAGAAACACACAGAGACAGCTGAACTGAACAAGGAGGAGCTAATGGACCCCCAGACTGATAGCTGGGAATCCAGCATGAGACTGACTCAGACCCCCTGAACATGGGTCCCAGCTAGAAGGCCTGGGCAGTCTAAGAGACCTTGGACAGTGGAACCAGGATGTATTCCTGGTGCACAAAAGGACTTTGCGGGCACATCCCCCATGGAGGGATAATCAACCTAGAGACAGAAGAGAAGGCCTAGTCCCTACTCTAAATGATGACCCATTCTGGATGCCATCACCCTACATATGGAATAGGAGTGAGGGTGAGGTGGGAGGGGAGGGTGATCGGGAGGCATGAAAGGGTGGGAGAGAGGGAAAGAAGGGGGAGGGAGAGAGAGAAAGAAGGGGGAGGGAGAGAGGGAAAGAGGGGGAGGGAGAGAGGGAGAGGGAACTGGGATTGATATGTAAAATTAAAATTAAAAAATAAATTATAAAAGAAAAGAAAAGCTGGCTAGAAACAAGCCAAGCTAAGGCCAGGCATTTATAAGTAATAATAAGTTTGTATTCACTTGGAGTCTGGGTGGCAGGCCCCAAAAGAGCAAAAGAGAAAAGAATAAAAATTAAACAACTATAAGCCTGTCAATGGTTCTACTGTCTGATGAGACATCCAATGGCCCCCAGTCAGGGATCAGGTGATGCATTTTGGCATAGTCACATAGGGCTACTTGATCAAGTCTTTCAAAATGTTCAGAGATAAGTGACATGATTATATTGGTGCCCTATATATTTTGAAAGCAGTTTGTATGCATTTATATGTTATATGATTGACTGATAGCCTTATTTATTTATGTACTCATTTATTTATTTGACATAGTGCTTCTCTATGTTGCCAAAGCTGCCTTTGAACTCATAATCTTCCTGCCACAGCTTTCTGAGTACTGGATTACAGATGTGCTCATCATACCTGGCCAGATTATACTTTTATTTGGTGTATAATATTTAGGCATAAATATGCCTGTTATAGGATACACTTTGGAACATGTTAACTAGGTATTAATACTTTTCCTTTGGCAAGATCAGGTTTTCTTTTTTTAAGTTTGCTTTTTATCATCTGTGTTTTCTATTGTCAATAGGCGTCACTTTTAAAATAAGGAAAAGTTCTTTTTAAGTACAAAATATTAAGGTAGATGATGAGGCCTTCCATACAGGCATTAGCTAGAAGGGGAGGAGTCAGAACAGACAGTAATCAGGTCACAGGGACTGGCAAGAATGACTTGGCAGGGAAGGCATGTCTAAGGCTCACTGTATTCTTAGTATGGGTGAGCAATGGCCAGACTTGGGGTATGGAGATGGGAGAGAGGAAGGGCAGGCCAGAGGAAAAAATGCATAGGATTTATTGGGGACAGCAAGGCATCTTAGAGTTGCATTTCAGAGGAAGTAAGATGAGTAAAAATAACATCTTCTGGACTTAAAATTAGAGGCTCAAATCAGGAGTTCTGTGTGTTGCTTTGATGCATTAGACTTTGTCCTGAGGACAATGGGAGGCCATAGGCCAACCATATCTATTTGGTAGGTCCTCCCACAGAGGCATTGGGATAGAGAGAGATGGGTTCAGACTAACAAGTGTTTCAATCTATATCACGGCAGTTCAAGACAGTGTCCATGGTAACCAGCCTCCTAGAACATTCCTCATTCAGCCTCTCTGACAACACTTCAGCTCTTGGTGTGTCTCCCTAAACAAAATGTGAGGTGGCTTTGGGGGCTGGTTGACACTTCTCATCCTTTAATACCTCAGTGTAGGACACTCAATAAACATTTGCTCAGCTGGGTTCAATAAAAGCATTAATCATGTCATAGAAAGTGTGACCACACCTGGCAGTGGATAAGGCGGCTCCATAGTCTTGCAAACTCGTCCTGATTCAGCCGCCCATTCACCTTCACCTGGAGGAGGAGTTAAGTGCCAAGGAGTCCAGAGGGCAATGGGGAAGGGGTGCTGTTTGTCCTGGCAACAAAGCCAGAGAAGCTTTGTCCTTCAGCTTGTAACCCAGTGCCATGTTGGCCCCATGCCACCTGGCTCCCACTCTATATGAAGGTGACCGGGTTTAGATTTGTTTCACAAAATAAAATGCATTTTTACACGGAAGGGGCCCTGAGAAATAGGCATCAATTTTGGTTATATCCAGTAGAAGAAAGGGACACCTCCACCCACCACAACCACAATATGGCCTTTACCAGTTGGGCTGTGTTCACCAGTCAGGGAAGGGTCAGGAAGAGCTTGCAGGGGCCTTGCAATGCAGAAGTAGTGTGGATAGGTACAGGTGCCATCCCTGGGCCATGTTGTAGCTGGGATGTTTCCTGTGTATTAATGCTTCCCTAGCTACCTCTTAGAGCAGGCAACTAATACAGGAAAAATAATTGAACTATGAGAGCTAACACTCAACCCCAGGGGAGGCCCTATTTACAGTTCCCAAGTACAATGCAATGCACAGATCTTTCCTACCCCCTTTTTTTTTTTATTCTTCCCCCAGTTGGGTGCCTTGGCCATGGGGCTGCAAGGACCATTTGGATTCCTCTGTGTCTCTGAGTGACTCCAGACCACAGCCAGCTAAGACAGGACTGATTTATGATTCCATCAAGAAGCCTTCTTGTTCTACAATAGCTGGCTTCGAATTCACAATTGAGCCTTGTTAACAATGTGAGAGGGGGTGATCTGTCTCTCTCTGGAGACAGCCACAGCCTGGGGAAAGAATTACCAGGCTTGGGAATCCATCCTACATGGCCAGTGTCTTGTGGGCCTGAAGAGAAACAGAGGTCAGATAGAGGAGAAACACCCTTGGAGAGGGTGTTAAGATAAGAATTAAGCAAAGTTTGATTCCTGGTCCTGTTCCTTGTGGCCATGGAGTGAGCCACCCAATTGCCTCAAGGCCACTGTTTTACACATGCAAAAATGCCATGTGAGCCACAAGAGAGCACCCCTGCTGTGCACTTCAGGCCAAGGAGGCTTGTGAGTCTTTGTGGTTATCTTTTTAAATCGGTGGCCTTCTGAGTAAGGAATCCAAGCAGTGAAGATTTCTCCAGTATTGAAGGAAAGATGGAAGGGAAATAGTTCCAATTGGTGGATGTAGTACAGGCTGAGGTTAGAACATAGACCTTGGAAGCTAAAACTCCTATTTTCAAATCCATGTGTGGCTGTGTAAGCTGGGAAAACATACTTGACCTCTGTGTCTTTTCAATGGGATAACAGCTGTTGCATCATAAGGGTTGTTGCAAGCATTACAAACACACTTCCTTAGGAATCCCAGAAGTTTGATGAGTAGTGACTATTGCTATTGCCACTATGATGAGCTAGAGTCTAGAGTAAGCTGGGAGAAAATGGCACAGGATCCATGTGCTGATCTGTAATCAGAAACCTAGGGAAGCCCTCAGGGTAGGAGGGCTCCTAGGGCAGCAGGAGGGGGTGATGGCAAAGGATACATCCATCAGAGCCACGATGCTTTGGCACTGGTCCAAGGAGAAAGTGTCCCCTGGAGACCCTGAGGAAAGAGAAGGACTGAAGTGCCACTGAAGGTGGGCACATGGGGGATGGGGCCAGAGCCATCTGACCTCTGAGTTGACATACCTATCAGGAACTCCTGGTTGAGAAGTCTCTGAAGTTGGGTGGCATCAATGTCCTGCCCCTGGTCCAAAACAGGAGAAAAGTGGGTGTGAGATGGGAATCAGGAGCCAAGGGACAGATCCACCCAACTCTGTAGCAGCTCCCTGAGTTCTACATCCTTCCTTTCCATAGCATGTCTACCTGTTCTTTGTTCTGGGTTCTGGCCATGTTGATAAACCACTCTTTGACATCCAACATGATGCTTGGTCCTGACACTGGGCTCCTGGTGTGGGCTCTGTCATACTGCTTCCCTCCACTTATTATTGGACAGAAAGCATGCTTCCTCCCCTACCCACTGTGGCTGGCACTGGCAGATCCCCATCAGAAGGACCATAGCAGGATGACCAGTGCAGCCCTTTAGGTGTGTTCTCCACTTCCAGAGGGACCATGAGAAGATGTGTTGACTTTGTGTGTGTCTGTGTGTGATAATAGATGCTAACTAAACACACTCAAAATCTAGGCTTCTAGAAACTGCTATCATGGAGCACATTACTTAGTCTCCCAGGTACTGAGACTTTCCTTAGATTAAAAGCAGAAAGCTGCTACAGCAGTGGGTAAACAGGTTGTTTTCTAGGCCTGATCTCGGGAGAAGTCATGGCACTGACCATTCCATGCAGGCAGGCAGTGGACGGCCTTGTGGCAGTGACTTTGATAACAGTTTTACAGGGAAGCATGGCTGCTGTACGTGGGGCAGCTGGCACTGGAGAAAGGTTGCTCAGTGGTTAGACTTGTAGAGTGGCATTCCATGGCTTAGCAGGATAACTGCCCTCACAGCCCACAGTCCCTTTCTCCTCTTAGGGTGGGCAGTACCCCCTGCCCTGAAAGCAGAAGCAGCCCCATATCTTGTCATTGTAAGGCCCTGCCCACAGTGAGAAGCACAAGCCTGTAAGATGCCAATGTCTCACTTGCCCTCAGGCCATTCTTCTAACTTCACATAGTTTGGGAATATCAGCAAAGTTGGCTTTATGTGCCCAACATCAGCTGAGTTTTTCTTCCAAAGAACCTTGTACAGGAGTTGCTATGCTAAGGATGGACTTGCCTTCATGGAATTGCCCATCAGCCACCAAGCTGAACAGAGCAAGGACCATATCTGCTTCCTTCACCATATTACCTGCCTAGGGCACATTTGGACCATGACTCTATTCTCTATCCCCCACCACAAGCAATCGAGAAACTGATGGCAGGGATGACAATAGTGGTTACTCAGATGAGTCCCCCAAGAATTGCATGTATCAACTATGCATGTATCAGCCTCAAAGGTTGGAGCTGTGAGCTGGGAGTTGATGGTGCACCTCTTTAATCCCAGCACTTGGAAGGCAGAGGCAGGTGGATCTCTGTGAGTTCCAGGCCAACCTATTCTTAGAGAGAGTTCCAGGACAGGCTCCAAAGCAATATAGAGAAACCCAGTCTCAAAAATCAAAAACAAAACAAACAAACAAAGATTGGGGCTGTGGTACTACCAAAGTTTAGTGAAGTAGGTACTTGGGGCATGTCCTGGGAGTTTGGAAAATGCTTGCCAATGGAATTCATAAAGGATAGTGGCTAGATTTGCTCTGTCTAATTGAGAACAAAATGCACGATTCCTTTCTGACAGTCAGGCCTGGTTATACCATACCCACAGCCATGGCTAACAAAGGCAACTAATGTCAATGAGTGCTGATAAATTACTATACTAATAGAGCTAGTTACCCCAATGTGAGATATCAAGTGGAAATAGACAGTAAATACATGAGAAATGCTTTGCTTAAAAATCTCTTGGGCAGTCACAACCTTTGAGCACAGTCTGCATGTTGTTCAGAATGCTGCCAGGGTGCCTTGATCAAGGGTACCTCCCTAAGAGGTGGCCTAGGCACAATACTGTATTGGTGTCTCATTCTAATTCCAACCACCATCCAATACCAGCAACAGTCACTCTAGGGGGAGCCCAACATTTGTCTGTCTCTTGGAAATGTCCTGATAAGGGAGTTTGTACCATCATGTCATATGACAAATGACATTTTAATGTTAAAAGTCCAGGTGCACAGACCCGTGTGAACATGTCCCACCTGCCCTGGAGAAGCTTGGTCTCAGGCATCCTAATCAGGTCCTGCTGGCCACCTCAGCTAATCGAAGTCTGGGTGTCTGCTTCGGGGGAGCAAACTGACAAAAATGACTGAGCACCTCCTCTGGGCCAAGGACAGTGATCTGTGCTTGGGGACAAGGGATGCATATGAAGCCATCTCTGCCTTTGGGAACTCATGGACAGGGGATAGTGGTCTTCTGGGTTAGCCTTGTTTCAGTGAGACCTGGCCTGAATCCTGGGCAAGTGATGATGTGATGTTCTTTGTAGCATCCACCCCTCATTGTAGCCACATTCTCATCCGTACCCCACCCCATTTCCCTATGGCCCAACCTGTGTCTGAGATACCACTATGCCATTAGCCCTCTGAGTACAGCATAGGATGACATCCCTCCTTCCTCAGCCTCTGCTTGACCCACTGTGCACAAAACTATCTATATCACTTTCTGCTTCCTACACCGACACAGTTATTAATGGTAAAAGGCCCATCCCACGGAACCACTGGCAGCTCTTTTATCCTGAGGAGTCAAGGAGTTCTTTATAACAGTTTATTAAACCATTAGGAAAGCCCCATGTGCACATAGGTGGCTTGGCAGGGAGAGAGCTGTTGGGGATTTCTGAAGCTGGCCAGCTCTGGGGAGGAACAATGCCAGCTTTGGTGGGGGTAGGGAGAGTGATGGTCGAGCCAGAGAAAGATTTCAAGGGGTGCTGCCAACTGCTTGTCTAAAGGCTCAAGCCACAATATATCCCTTTCACACAGCCCATAATTATCCTCTCCCTTCCTAAGCTCTATGTTCCAATGGGATTCTACCCACATTGGGACATAACTTATCTCTAGAGCTTGGCAGCCAGAGCATCTGGGGATGGTCCAGGGAGAGAAAGTGGCTGATACAATCAAGTCCTTTTCATTCTGTGCATTCTGACAAGCAACTGGAGATGTTTCTGTCCCTGGAGTGCCCCTTCACCCCCTCCCCACCTTATGATAAGTAAGGTCGATGGGTGTTAGGTAATGTACCTGATCCACATATCTGTAGAAAATGCTGTTTTGGGATCCATTTTCTGAAAGACTTCCCTGGTTCAGAGGGAAAATAGTTATGTTAAGCTGCTGAGGAGATGGTCACTCATCTGGTACAGCCTTGTTTCAGTAGGAGTTGGCCTGATACAGGGTATAATTAGCCTCTCCTGAATCTAAGATAGAAAATTCACTTGGTGGTTATAGGGGTCTGGTAGGGGAAATCAAACTTGAAGGGGATTTGAAAACTAAAGTTTGTTAGAAGGAAGATACTTGAACCTAATCTGGTCTTGGCGGGGGGGGGGGGGGCTGGTCTTCTCTTCTGCCCTACTAGAAGCCTATCATAGCATTTCTGTTTTGCCTAGTCATTAGCAAATCCGGGAAGCAGAAAGAAGCTCGTGTGTGTGGTTTCTCTCTCTCTCTCTCTCTCTCTCTCTCTCTCTCTCTCTCTCTCTCTCTCTGTGTGTGTGTGTGTGTGTGTGTGTGTGTGTGTGTGTGTGTGTGTGACGTAGCTAACAAAGACAGCAAACAAGACCTGCACACCTACCTTAAGGGCTCTGAGGTTGAAACTGCTGCTTGGGTTCCTAGAAAACCAGGGGAACAGTGTGACAAAAATGACCCTTGCTGTATTCCCAGGAGTCTACCTGTGGAGGGCACTCAAAGGCACCTAACATCTCCAGCAAGTGTGAGTAGAAGGCAGCCATGGCAGTCAACACACAATGATCTCATGTTCATTTGAAATGGGCATGGTCTAGTTTTCTAGCCACTGACTTGTTCATCCTGAGATGCACATGGATGGTGACTTATACTACCAGAAAGCAGGAGACCTTTGACTCATTCTCCATCTTAATTGGCAGTGATGGCTATCCGTACTCATTTGCTGTAAAGACCCCTCTGACTATAGTAACTCTTGCCTCAGGCTCAAAGGGCCAGGACTTGTTGAAACCAATCTTGATCCATGATTTAACATTCAAGATCCTATAGAATTTCTGTCCATTAGGTCACTCTATCCTTCTGGTCTATCCTACATTCTGGCTATGTTTCAGACAAGTGACTATAATACATGGCACAATCATCCCATGCTCATGACTGACAGTGCTTATTTAAAAAACTCTGGGCACTACTATTTCCCTCTTCTCAGGGTCTTTCTTTCTATGCACATGGTCTTCTCTTGAAGCTACTAACATTGTTTACCTTCAAGGACCAGCTCAAGTGCCATTCCTCCAAGAAGCACTTCCTGGCCCCTACGGCCAGAAGAAGTCCTTCCACTCCGTCCCTTCATGCAGGTTTACATTGTTGTTGGGGTCGAGGTATAGGCTCATAGACTTTCTCATTCCCCATTGTAATGTGTGTCTCAAGAACAAGACTCATATTGTGTCCCTGGCACACCATGCTCTTCATATGACACACAGAGCCCTATTCACAAAGACACACTGGAGTGGAATAAACACACTCAGGACCCCAGGGTTTCTATACCTGTCCTTGTCTGGCATTTTGAGGAATATTCGGAGTAGGAACTCCACTCCTTTTCTGTGTGCTGAGGGAACCACTACATAGGTCCCGGGGCTCAGGTGGAAGGACTTGGTGAAGTTGCACTTGGATACATAGTCTATGCCCTGGGCAGCACTTCTAAATGGGGAGAAAAATGCAGGTGGCAGTCTTTCCTGGAACTTCTGGAACTAGAAGAAACAAGAATATTGTAAGACCTTTCTATACATGAAACCTGGCACCAGGACAGGCTGTTGCCTTCTAAACCTTTCTCTGGTCACCTGACCAGCATTACAAGTCCTAGAAAAGGAGACAGTGGTGACTCAGATCCAAAATGAAACAACTCCCCCCCCAAAGTATCTTATCTACCAGGTGTGTCCCACCTGGAGGTCTGTGGGTCACATGTGTCCAAGGAAAGCCAGGGATGTGGTCCAACATATTTGTAGATGATAAAATCATGTCACAATGTCAAAAGGTTGGACTTGGCAGATTCCAGATACTACAGTGGATGCACCAAAACTTGACAGGTAATTTTATCTCACTAATCTCATAGCATCCTGTGGTTCTGGTTTTCTTTCTTATTTATGGGCAAAGAAGGCATGGAAATTAGTGGCAATGTTCCAGTGTTGAATTCCTTCTGGAGTCCCCGCAGCTAGGTCTCCTCTTAATCTTTAATCACATTCTATGGGCTGCCACAGAACTGGAAGGTTGAATTTTCTTCTCTCCCTCTCTTTCATCTCTCCTGCAGAGCCTTGGGATTCCTTCTCATTGGAAGATAATGGGTCTCAATCATTTTCCTTTTATTTCAAATTTTCTTACAGATAAAACAATAAATATAGCGCGATTCCTATTACCAGATGTCACATACATATTATATAATAAAAACCCCTTACTAAACAAATTTTGCTACAACATGTGAGCATGGTGCTTCCATTTAGAATGGTTATACAGCATGAAATGGTTATTGATGGGCTCTGCCTTGGGGGAAGAATGGGGGAATGTGGAAGCTTCTATCAGGGGATAGGGATAAGATTAAGCAGGAGGTGGGTCACTGTCCCAGGTGGACAGCAAAGGGAAGGTTGAATCCCAAAAGCAGTTTTTCTGCTCTCAGATTTGGGGAGCTGGTTTTCTTAGGACCTTTGACAGAAGTAATTAATAATAGGGCCAGTTCTTTTCCAAAAGGGCAGCTCTGCCCTCTGTTACCATGTATAAATGTGTGTGCAGAGGTGTGTGAGCAGTCCTCCTTCTACAAGCTAGGTTAGGATGGCCTTGCTCACCTGCTGCCCCCCCATCATATTTTTGCAGCCCTGTTCAGAGCAGACTTGCTCGGTGGCAGTGAGAAGTATGACTAGGGAGTGACAGGAGACTTTGGTGTAGTGTGCAGAGGAGCCTGCTTCATGCAAATTCATGGCCAGCAAGGTATAGAGCTGGGCCTCGTACCCTAGCATTGGTGCTTGTACCCTTTTCTCACTCAAGTCCCCACTGTGTTCCAGCTCAGGGAAGTGGAGCTCTGATTCATTCCATTCACTTGAGAGCTTCCCTCAGAACTCTTCTGGGTGTTTTTCTATGGCTGGGGTACCATGGACCAGAGGCGGATTCTAAGCCCCTTACGACTGCCCTTATCTTAAATGCACAGGAACCCATTGGACCAAGCGCCTCTATGGAGACCAAATTGTTTCAGGGTACTTTCACTGTTACAGCCCCTCTTGGATGTTAAAGAGAGAATCCTAATGGGGCCCACACACCAAGATGACAAATCCTACCCTAGTTTGTTGACCTGTTTGGAGAGGCTAAGCTGATAGCTCACTCAAAATGCAACAAGAGCAGACTTGTGGACTTGGAGTCCCCAGTGTTGGAAGAGGCAAAACAGTTTCCCAGGAGACAGCATCAGAAGTGTGGGAAGTCAATGAGGACAGCAGTGGGCCATACCTGGGAGTCTACCTGTAGGAGAGAGAAAAACAGGCTTCAGGGAGACACAACAGAAAGACAGCTGGGTCTCTCATCCTACCTCAGGGAGCATGCTCCTTCTTGCGTGCTACCTCAGGGAACATGCTCCTTCTTGCGTGCTACCTTAGGGAGCATGCTACTTCTTGCATGCTACCTCAGGGAGCATGCTACTTCTTGCGTGGCCATCCTGTCTGGTATACAGGGCACATGTTAGGAGTGAGAATAGTGCCTTTGTTTGTGCTGAGTTACAGAAAGGGAGGCCTACACTGTTGGAGGGAGCAACAAAAGGTAGGACATTGAAGATAGCTGAGAGGAGGCAGCATGCTCTTTATGTTAGAGCAAGATATGGTTATTGCTCATAGTTATGATGGTAATAGAAAAGGAAGCTGGAGGACACTGGGAGGGACAGAGATAAGATGTGATCTCAGTCAAGTGTAGATTTCCCAAAAGTCAAGTACAAATCCCTCAATATGGAGAGCACCAATGAGAAGGCAACTTTGCTCTCCCCAACTGTACTCATGATAGGTGTTTGTTCTGTGGGCACTCCCGCCTCTGTAGGGAATGTACATGCACATGTGGATGGGGGACACTTAACACGTATGCTTTACTCTTTCCATCTGGTGGGATGGAGCATCAAGGACAGAGTTCTGTCTTTACGCCCCTCTACAATTTCCCAAGCCCTTCTGTGTGATACACTGGCTATTCAGTGCAGTCCTTTGAACAGATGCTTGGGTCTTGTTCCACATGTGAAGAAATGGAGGCCTGGAAGGTGAGAAGCAGGGTAGGGAAAAGGGCAAGCTGTGTTGCTCCCTTTGCGATGGTGTCCCACTTCCCATCAAGCACAGTCCTTCCCAGTCAGCTTGGCTTTGATTACTTTCTACTGTGAGCTGGGGCTCTACCCATGCAGGCTAACCACTTTGTGGGTGTGATCAGACCCACTGCAGCCATAGACACTGGGAGGGAAGTGTCAAGCCCTGGCTTGTGGGAGGACCTTTGGGGGATGAGGATGAATAGCTTGTACTCTTGTCCCTTTTATCTGTCCTGACTTTTTCCTGCCTTTTCACACATCATTGGTATCCAGTTGATGTAAAACAGTAGTGTGCCCACTGCTGCTGGGGCAGGCAGTGGTGGGGGTGTCACAGGCTCACACTAAGCTTGGAATCCTATTTCAACTGCCCTAGGGACTCTTATAAGCCCAGATACTGGCACACTCGTTATTTCTGGCTGGAATGTGAAAAATAACCAAAGTATCTTTTTTTAAAGATTAAAAACCATATGTATCTGAGTGTTTGCCAGCATATATGGGTCTGCACCAAGTGCATGCCCAGTGCCCAAGAAGGAAGAAGGCATTGAAAACCCTGGAACTGGAGGTATAGACAGTTGGGAGCTACCATGTAGGTCCTGGAAGTCATCCTAGGTGCAGCAAACACTCTTAACCACTGAGCCATCTCTGTAGTCTCCCAAGCATCTTATAATGAGATCTAGATGGGCTATTGGCATGTAACTCAATCAGGATCCTGGAGGGACTACTGAGGTCTTGGGCAGCCTGAGGCAGCCTCTGGTCAGAGTGCACTTTTTGTGTCAGCTGACACAAAATCATGTACAAAGGAGAGAGGGGAGCTTGGGGAGATTTTAAAGATGGGGTTGATTGCAACCTCATGACAGCTCCTGAACCATAAGCATGTTTGTATATTGGTCATGGATGGAAGCATCTAGAAAACGAAGCTCAGAAGGTAGGTGGGAGCTGAATAAGATGGCTCCTTAGGTAGACATGATCCTACAGACTGGCCTATATGGCTACTTCTAGGCCAAGAGATTTGTTGTAATACCTGCTTCTTCCTACCTTTTTTGTTTAATTATTCAACAGTTGAGTACTGGCATGAGCAGGTCTGTGTGTATGGTGATGTAGCTGGAATGGAGGTGAAAGGGATACCCAGCTGGAAACATCCAGGTTACAAAAGATCTCCTTTTGCATCCAAGTCCTGGAGATGGGGGTTTGGCTTTCTTTTAGCAACTGCAGTGGAAACCTGCATGCTTCATCCCACTTGAATCCAACAATCTCTTCTGTAGGAGCTCCGACTCTTGAAGAATTACGTAAAAGGGGAGCAATGAGCACGAGTTCTGAACTATGTTGAGAGAATAGAGCTCAACAGGCTTTCCTTCCAAAGCTTGTTTCTCTTGCTCTGTGTGCCATGAGAAAAGCAATCATGTAAGCTGAGCACCCCAGGTCTGGGCTATAGGTGCTGAGATCAAACTTTACCCATCACCCGCAGCTGTTGGAAAGATGATTATTCTTCTCTGAGCTCTGGATTTCATATCTATTCTTGGTTTTGAGACCCTGCAGGGCCACGTCCATAAGGCCTTCTCACCAGCAAGAGCCACAGCTGTGAGCAGGACAGTTCCCCATGAGCAGAGTAGGCAGGAAACATGTCTGACCATAAAAGGGCTGAGGGCCACGTTTTTGAAATTTGCTTTGTCTCAGTTAGTTGGAGTTGTTTGGGAGGCAAGTCCCATCTCTGGCCTAATGTGTCAATAGGCTTCTGAGCTCTGTGGTACCCATCAAAGGTGGCAGGTGTGTCTGGCTCAGGCTTGAAGGGCATCTGGTGCCCACTCTCAGCTTCATCATTGACTCTGCCATGGCATTTCATATCCTTGTATACTAGTTTCTCCGCCTCTAATGGGGTGGGATGAATACTACTAATACCACAGGGATTCACAGTCTTACTGGCACAAGGAGGCTTTGGGACAGATGACTTGAGGGTCACTCACTCTATCTTTGGGATGCTTTGAATTTCTTAGGAGACATGACAGCAGAGCCATTAGATTTTCCTTTTCTTTGTAACATTTTTAAAAATGAGTTCCTTAGTTATCTCTCTCTCTCTCTCTCTCTCTCTCTCTCTCTCTTTCTCTCTCTCTTGTGTGTGTGTGTGTGTGTGTGTGTGTGTGTTAGCATTGATGAGATTGAGGGAGCTGGTTGGGAGTGCAATGGAGAGGATGAGCAAATAGCTTGAATGTCAACTTCTGAATTGTATCTGGGCTTTGGTCTAGACATAAGAGGAAAAAGATTTCACCTATTGGATTTAAGTCTCTCTCTCTCTCTCTCTCTCTCTCTCTCTCTCTCTCTCTCTCTCTCTCTCTCTCTCTCTCTCTCTGTGTGTGTGTGTGTGTGTTTAATTTTAATGAATGATTTTCAAAAATGACATAAGCAGGCAGCCTCTGAGGAACTTGTTAAAATGCAAATCATTAGATGCTGCACCTAAGAGTCTGTTTCAGGGCCTTGGGACTGGCTCAAGAATCTGCATAATAATAGAAGCTGGTCTTCTTGAGCACCTCTTGAGACACAAACATCAGAGTCTGAAGCATACCTGGAAAATCTGTGCCACACAAGTGGCACAGATAAGGGATGTATGGCATTTAAAACATGATCAAGAGGCTGGAAGGATGGCTTAGGGCTGAGAACAAAGGCTGTTCTTGCAGAGTTCTGTTTCCAGCAACTGTATAGTGCAGCCCACAACTGTAACTCTAGTTCCAGAGGGATCATACCCTCTTCTGGACTCCATGAGCATTGTCACTCACATGTGCACATATCTATACACACACACACACACACACACACACACACACACACACACACACACACACATATCAGAATAAGAATTTTAAAATAGGTCTGATTCTCCTTTAATTTAAAGCTTTCTTAAATTTTTAACACATGAATGCTACAGAGCCTTTGGGCTTTTATTACTAAATCTTGCAAACAGATTGCATACCTTGAACACCTGGAACTGTAACGGAAATATCTCCTCTTCTGTCTTCAAGCTTTGTGACATGATTGTGAAAGCCACAACAACATTGTTGCCATCAGTGGACTCTTGAACACCAAAGAGATACTGAGTGTCCCTCCCATGTCCTCCTAGAAGAGAATAAGACATTATTAGGGCTCAGAAACACCCCTAGAGGCCCAGTACAGTGCTTTTTGGGATTGAGTTCTAAACTCTGTTTGGAAAGCTAGGGTCTGGGTCCACATAGCCACAGTCAGTAGTTGTGAAACAAGTTCTTTATATTCTGAGCCTTGGTCTCTTACTCTTAAAAATAGAGAGGGAAGTATTATCTCTACTTGAACAAAAATGTCTCCTAAGTGATGGGAGATGTCATTCTGTATATGTTTCTCATACTGGTTAATGAGTAAAGCACTGTTGGCCAATAAATAGGAAAGCTAGATAGGCGGGACTAGGAGACGAGGAAAGAGGAAGTAGGAAAGAAGTCAAGATGGAGAGTCTGGAGAAAGCAGAATGCTGGCCGGCTCCCCAGTAAGAGAAATACATAGATCAGCAGAAATGGGTTAATACTTAAGACAGAGCTAGTCGATAAGAAACTAGTACCTGGGCAACAGAATTATATCTAATACAGAGTCTCTGTGTGTCATTTGGGGCTGGCGCGGCAACGGGACCAGACTGGGCGGCGGGTGGAAAAACCATACTCCTTATACCTAAGCAATACATTCAGTCTCGTGTGTGTGTGTGTGTGTGTGTGTGTGTGTGTGTGCACGCACGCGTGCGCATGTGTGTACATTTGTCACAGGCCAACCTAAAATTCTATTTCTCAAATTCTGCCCACTGATTATTTATATATGTATGCATTTACTTATTTATTTAATTTTTTTTTTGAGAAAGGGTCTCTCAGTGGCCTAGGAATTTCCAGCAGGCTAGGCTGGCTGGCCAGTGAGCCCCAGGAACCTACCTGTCTTCACCTCCCCCAAGTACTGGGATTATAAGAGCCCACGCTCTAAGGGCTATTTATAAGTAAAATCTCCAAGTATGCATAAGCTTATTTGTACTAGCAACAACCATTAGAGCCTTGAATGGCATCAATCATCAAGCACCAGTGAAGATAGCAGGAATCAGGGGGTAAGATGGTAGTCTACAGTGCTCTTATACCCAAGCATGCTTATCCAAGCCAAAGCATTAGGAGGGCTCCATGGAAACTATTAGACTCAAGTGCATGAAACAGGGCAGGCCAGTCAGGATACAGATGAGCCTCTTCAGGAGGCATGGGTCACTAGTGAGCTCTGGAAAATGAGTAGAGAGACTCAGAAGATGGCCTTGGTCACAGCCTTCCTATGAGTACTGAACAAGATGCTGATTAAAATGCACTTAGCGGTATATAGCAGGTACTCAATTGCTGACTTCCTTCCTTTGCTTTTTTGTGAGGTATTACTATAAATGGCCTTGCTGTGTAACTCTGGTTAGTTCACTAATGCACATTATATCCAGAGGAAAGGGCATTTGTGGCAGGTCAGGTGGGCACTACTTAGGGAGATGGATAAGTAAGAGTGGCTGGGCAGTTGCATATAGTCTGCTCGTGGCCTCCTTGGTGACAAGACTCTCTGAGTAGAGTCATCAAAAGAACCTAGAGATAAAAAAAAAAAAAAATGAAGCACACCTTAAGGTCTGGGGCTTTCAAGGAGACCTTTCTGGACAGGCAAGTCTCTCACACAGACACGTTTATAGCCTCTTTTGTGGAGGATGCACTGTCTCACTCAGACAGGAAGCAAATTCAGTCATCAGTGTCACAAACAGGTAACTTAACAGACAGTGAAGGGTCATGAGAGAAGTGCCTGCCATCACTAACTCATGAGTAGGACAAGGCTATCCACCCTGTGCCTGGCTGATGCTTTGTGGGCTCAAAGGGAAAGCAGAGATTACTATTAATACCATTTACTGCCATGGAGGCTGGTGACAGAGAAAACTGATATTCTGAGGTACAAAACTAGTGTGTGGAAATGATGGTGGTTTAACCAGGCTCTGAATTCCTTTCCCATGCTCTTTCTACAGCCTTTCCTCCTGTCTTGGGTGTTTACAGGAAAGCAGAGAGTCAGCTCTCCACCCTGGTTCTAAGTAGCAGGACCTGTAAAATGTGGAATCAGGAGAGGTGATTAGCCTGCCCACTCCTACTAGCAGCCACTGTGCTCTCAAAAGCTCTAGTTGTCCCTTGAAGCTAACTCTTTTGCTTTCTTTGTGGGGCTAGTGTTCTAACCAGATGAAAGAGTCAGAGAGAAGTCAGGGCAGAGCTAGGGCTGACCGGTGCTGGTCTAGCAGAATGACCACCTGAGATCACTTGGTTCTTGAACATCATTTGGCGCCATCTTTCATTGGGTGTGACTCCATGATCCAGGGTGATTGGGATCTGGTTGCAGATAAACAGGCATGAGAAGTTCTCCTGGAAATCTTGACATGACATCCTGTGGAAAACAGACACTCAGCCAAAGTCACTTCTGGCTGTATCCCTGGGTTCAGCTTCCTACCATGTCACTGTGCCTCTCTAGTCAGCCCATGTGTTGACTTGCTGTAGGCCTAACCAAAGACCAAAGTCTGTCTCTGGCACATTCAGTGTCACGTGCTCCTGCCTTTGAGACTCTCCTCTCACATGCTTGACAGGGTACTGGGAGAGACAAGTATGGATATTGTGTCACCTGGCAAAATCACTTACTCAACCCAATAATCCAACTGAGTCCTTTTAGGCTCAGTGGGACAAAGGCCAGGCTCTCTTCACTTGGTCCTTTGCACTGTCAGAAATCTTGCCAATATCTTTAAGAAAACATGTGATGCCACAGTGAGACCCTGGCCATGCCAGGATTAAAGTATAGATATTGGGAAATATTTGCCGTTCTGATAGACACTTGCTTCTCTGACTCTTAGTAATTCAGGCCCTGGGTTTCTTTCATTATTTCACACATACTAAATTTCTTCATTTTTTAATTATTTAAATTTGTTCAGATTATTTTGACCATGTTCTTACCTCTCATCCAACTCCCCCCCACTGCCCTCTCCACCCAACATCAAGTCCTTTCTCTTTCTCAAAAAAGAACAAGACAAAAAATGAAAATCAAAAAAGACAAACTAAAAAACAAACAAAATCAAAAACAAGCATGCCAAAAACTAGAGTCTGTTGGTTTACTACTTCTTGGCATTGAGCCTGTCCTGGAGTAAGGTTGATATGCCCAGTGACAGGCATAATACCTTTCCTGGCAGGTATTAATTGCAAAAGGCTTCTTGGTTAAGGGTGGGGCTTGGTGTCTACTTTCCCTTCTTGGTGCTGGGATTTTGTATGGCTTGAACCTGTGTTGGTCTGTGTATGCTGTCTTAGCTATACTTTATCAAGTTCATTTCCTTTCTCTGTTCCCCAAAGAGCATCTGAGGTCCCAGCCAGGCTCATTCTAGAGATCTGTCCTGCCATTCCTCTTTGTTTTCAGATACACATGTTACATCTTACCAAAATACGTCACTAAATAAACCAGAGAACCCTCCAAGAAATGGCTATCTTTTCTAAGATGTGCATGTAAGGCATGCCATGTGTTTTCAAGGTGTGGAGTCTTGAATAGCCATAAGCTGAGGACATTGATATCCCATCCAGGGCCAGGCTGGAAGATGCACCCCCACTTATTCTTCTGGGAGAGTCCTGCCAAAGCAAACTGGAGTGCTGAGTCCCCATACATGATGGAAATCAGAGATGACAATCATGCCTCTAAATTCAAACCTCTGAGAAACCATAGAAATGTACAGGAAATTCCAATCTCATCTCCAAGATAACCTTCCCACCAAGGAGAGGGGGCATAACCATTTGTCATCAAAGCTGTTGTGCTTTGGTACAGAAAATAGGCTACCTCTAAGCGGGTCTCTGTAACACCAATTTCCATCCTCAAAAAGTTTAAGTGAAATAGTTGGAATGGAGGGCTTGGGAAATGAACACTTCAAACATCCTTAAAGAAAGATAGATACCAAAACTCGCCATTGTCCTTGTTTTCATACAGTTGGCTTTTCCGTGGGTCACTGGTTTCCTCCCACTCCTGGGACCTGAGTATGGAGAGAAAGACCACACAGTGAGACCTCTCCCACATCACTGCAAGAGGGCCACGGTGACCTCAAATCACCTGCCCACTTTTGTAAAACTCTAGATGTCATACATGAGACAGAATACCCAACTTCTATCCTTCAATATCTGGCCTTTCCCACTCAATGTGATAGTCTCTAGTTCTGTCCATTTTCTTGCTAATACCATGTTTTTCATCTTCTTTATGACTGAATAACACTCTGTTGTATACATACCACACTTTGTTTCCAACATGTCTACTGGTGGTTGCCTAGGCCAACTCCATAAATTAACAATGGGAAAGGGGAAAGAGAACATGAGAGAATAATAAAGTGATCGAAATATATCTTATACATGTATGAGATGCCATAGTTTGTAAAATTAATGTACACTAATAAAAACTACCTCCCATCTTCAACCATCTTATTCTACTTCCATCACCAGGCTTGAACACAGAGCCCTTTGCTATGTCTACTTCTTGACAGTCACCAAAGATTGATTTATTGAGTCTTCCTCCTAGGCCCATCTCACAGATGCCTCACAGATGCCTCACAGATGCCTCACAGATGCCCTGGTCCCGCTCTCCCTTCTGTTACTCTTTCCTCCCTCATGGACATGTGGTTGTTCTCCCTGAACGTAGTCCTGCCCACTTTCCTACCCATTCTCCATACTGCCACTGAACCCGGCCCCCCAAAGTGGGAGCTTGATCATTTCATTTCCATGCTTAAAACATGCTGGTGGCATCCAGTCGCTGCCAGGCAAAGTTCAAACTCTTTAAGAAAACCATGGTCTCTGCCAGTCAACAGCCCCATGTTTAACCGGGCTGTTCCTGCCCCACCCCCAGCTTTGAACACTCTGTTCCAGCAATCATGAATTATCTTCATTCATTCCCCTCCCCACACCCACTTCTGGGCTTTCACCACGATGCTCCTGTGTAGGGAACACTCCTATCAATACTGACCTGCGACCTCTCGGGTGTCTCTTCACCTAACGGGTTCTCTGTGTGAAAAGCCTGGCTGAAGCTCTCTTGCTTCATACTGAGACCTGGCCCTTCCCTTGGGCTCCCATACACCTAGTCCTCTGTGTAGACATTGTTCCATTGCTGTTTATTTCTTTCTCTTTTTAGACTCCAGGTGCCCACAGAGCAGTGGCCTTGCTTTCCCCAATACCATCACAGGCATCTAACACACAACGCAACACATATTCTGTCTCTTTTTTGCTTAGTTAACTGAACAACAGAGATGACGTATTCCAGAAGCAAGTTCTGGGGTGGGGTGGGAAAGAGACCCTTCTAGGCAAAAGGCAACAGCTGTTCCTCCTTCAGCTTGTGCCTCAAAGTAGAAGCAAGCTCCACAGGCTATGAGCGCCAGAGGCTTAACAGTTTAATGAGATCTTTCCCATGATGGAGACTGTATTGGGAACAGGGGTCACCTCTCTGTCAGGACAGCAAGGGAGAGACCACCACCCAGGCTTCCAACTACTGGCTGAAGCAGTCAGATGTGTTATTGTAAAATGGCAATTTTATAATTAAGCGATAATTACATTTTCTGCAGTGTGTAAGGGAAAATAAATGTAGTGTAAATCAATATGCTATTGATTCATGCAAGTTTGCCTTTAAGTGTGTGCGACTGAAATTTCAATTATGGCTGAGATTAGACCATCCGGCTCTCACCATCCATCTCCATTCCTAAGGAGTAGGAAAGAAATTGACCACCTGCATAGAAACAGGGATTATGCGGTCCCCACCACTTCCTTCCAGCCTGGTTCTGGCAAGAGGCGGCTGACAATCAGCCGAGGGACCTGATCCTCCGGGGTGGGTACTGTTCTGCACCCACACTCCAGGTTAGGGGTTCCATCCATGTTCATTCCTGTAGGGTTTGAATAAAAGATTCTGGCCTGTTCTCCCGATCCTTGCCTCCTTTGCTGTAGCCCAGCAGGTTCCTAGCTAGGGAGAAGGACCCTACCTAGTGTCTCTTCTGAAACACATCCTATATCCTTGTCACAAGGACACCTCCTGTTCATCGCCATCTGTCACACTGCCTGAATATGCCCACCCATAGGATCTTTTTCTTCTCTGAGCTCCGATGTCTCTTGTGGCTTTTGCTAGTGGTGGAAGACACAAGGGAGAGATTAACCATTTTGAGTTTATTGTCTGCCGTCATCCCCGGAACATATTGTCAATGGTCTGATTTTTTTATTTCTATCAGCCAATCAAAATGTCCTCTGGGCCACATTCAGAAGTTTGGGTGCTGGGCATGGAGAACTGGGGACAGCCAGAGCTTATTCAGATTTACTTTGGAAAAAGTAAAAGATAATCTCCGTTAGGTGGCACAGATGCATACTTTTAGCCATTCCACATGCTTAGACTAAAGGGTGGAAAGTTCAAGGCCAGCTTAGGTGACAGGGTGAATGAATCAAGCCTCGACCAAGCAATAAAGCAAGACTCTGCTTCAAACAGATCATCAAGAAGGCTGAGAGTGTAGTGAAGTGGTTAAGAGCTTGCCTGGCATGCACGAGCCCTATGTTTAATCCCCAGGATGGAAGAAAGAAGGAAAAATTAAGAATAGAGGCAAGAGAAAAGAAGAAAGATGACAGTAAGGGAGGCATTTGAGGCTGGGTTGGTGCATGGCACATGCTTACCCAAATCCATTTCCCTTCTCCTGTTCTCCAAGGAGAATCAGAGGCACCAGCCACTATTATTCTACAGACCTGCCCTGATGTTTCTCTTCATCCTTCCCTTTCCCTCCCTCCCTCTCTCCTTCCTTTTTTCTCCTTCTCTCCCTTCCTCCATCATACTTCCATCTCACACTATTTGCTAATTGCCCATCCATGAGGCCAGGGACACACCAGGTGCAGAGCCCACAATGAATCAAGGGGTCTTGGCTCAGCTTGGCCCAGAGAGTCCAACTGGGATGCTAGCGGCTGGTCTAGTTACACTGGCTGTTTGCATGTGCCTTCCAGAGCTCACTGTGAACACTACTGATTTTCACTACTTGTTGGGTCCTGTTCTGTTTGTCTGACACATTGCATTTCCTTTCTGATCATGCCCCCACCCCCGACTGGCAATGAAGCTGCAGCCACTGTGGTGATGGCTTTTACAGGTCTGCACAGATCCTGAGTGAAATGTGACAGACCCATCCCCACTGGCCACCAAGAGGAGCAAATAAAGTATTGCTGCCTCTCTGTCTTCTCATCTTCTCCCTTTCAGTCACCAAGGCACCAGGGACTGAGGTGGGAGGAAGAGAAAACAATGGAAGGGACAAAAGACAAATATTGAATGTTCTCTCTCACATGTGGAAACTAGTTGTTCACAACAGGCAGTAGGGTACTGAAAATCAGACTATGGCAGCTGAGAATGACCGTCCTAGCACCTGGATGAAGATGCTGGGTACCCAGATGTTCAACAGGGTGTTGGAGACATAGCTACTCAGCAACTTCCATCATGAGCAAAGTGCACTACAGCCATGTAGGTACACTGAGTCTGGGTCAAGTGTCAGGGGTAAGCATCTGAATCTTCTCAATAAAGAGATCACCAGATCACTGTCTCATTTCCTCAGCTCTACCTGGCATGAGCCTACTTCACTCTGATCCTGTGGCATAATCAGCATCTGACTCCAAAGAATCCCTTCCAGGATGGATGCCTTTATTCCCCACCTGTCTTTTCCCAGGGGGGAAGCTTGGCTACATCCCACCTCTTTACCCTCTTTGCTAATCTTGGGTATATGAGATCTCAGAGCCTTTTGGGAGACAGGCTTTGGGTCTTCCCATTTGTATATGTATCATAGCATCTACCTAACCCAGTGTATGTTTTGTAACATGCACATATATGTATCTAATGAATGCCTGGAAAATGATTCCTGTGAGTATAAGTACATTCACATCCATAACCAGTGATGAACTGGCCAGGCCCAAAGTGAAGACTACAGTGGGCTAGCTAGAGACTTCCCAGGTGCTCAGCAAAGAACCCCCCACCTGCCCATGTTTCCAGCATTCATACCCATCTCTCCAGCGCCCTTTCCATTCTGTGTTGCCCCAGGGGTTCCAAAGGCGGATGATTTCTTCCCAGCCCTTCTGGTACCGAATCTGTAAGGAGGAACAGAAAAAGCAACAGTCAGGGTTTTCTGGCAAAAGTCAGCAGAGAGCTGAAGTATGAACTCAGCTCTCTTTTTTACCTCCCAGGACTACTTTAACTTTTGACCTCATTTGGCTACAGCCAGGAGAAAAATGAAAAGAAGAAGAAAAAAAAAATCAATGTCTCTCTTGCGGCTTGCATGGAGCTAGAATGAGAGAGGGAGAGAGGAGGGGGATGAAAATGACCCTTGTTTTGCTCGGCCCCCAGCAGGTACATGGATAGCTCCATCATGTTGGATGTTGTCTCCTGGAGCTGCTGAACTCAGGTTTAACTGCAGACACCAAGCATGGGCTGCTGCATTCAGCTGTAGGGAGATAGCTTTGTGGCCCCCTGTCTCCTAATCCCATGCCAGCAGCATGCCAGGGGCTGCAGTATAGTTTTCTTGTGAGTGAGAAGGCTGGTGTGACCAAGATAGGGATATCCTTGGAGCTGGGATAGCCTAGGCTAGTCTTCCTCATTCCCCATCTTTCTCCTGAACAGTCTATGAGAAGGTGGCTTCTAATAGCCTGACTGAACCTCCCTTCTGATGGGTGAATGCCCTTCTGTATGTATGTTTCTCTTATTGGTTGATGAGTAGAGCACTGATTGGCCAGTAGCCAGGTAGAAGGTGTGGGTAGGCTTGCCAGATGAGGAGAATTCTGGGGAGAAGTGGAGAGAAGATGCAAGGAGACACCATGTGGCCGAGGAAGGAGTAACAGGTCTGGACCCTTCTCCAGTAAAATAAGACCATGCGGAAATATTTAGATTAATAGGGATGGGTTAATAATTAAGAGAGAGCTAGCCAAAAAGAAGCCTGAGCCTTTGGCCAAACAGTTTATAATTAATATGTCTCTGTGTGCTTATTTGGGGCTAATCAGCTGTAGGACCTGGCTGGAAAAGAAACTCCTGCTATACCCTTTATCTTCACCCCACCTCCAACATGCAGGGTTTCACTTGTGCTCTTGCATTGGTTAGTGGGTGAGGGCTGAGGGATGTTACATCAGATAACAACAAGCCATCCAGCCCACACTTCTAGGAGCAAGGAGCCCTCAGCCTGGAGAGAGAATGCTGAAGCATGATTGAGTTGTAGCTGGGCTATTGATCTATGCTAATGTTGTCTATGAAGATGGAAAGCTTAGGGAAGGGGGGGGGGGTTGCCCATTGACTCTACAGCAGAGGAGGCTGAGGAACTCAACAGCCTCTCACTGGACAATGAAAGATTGTGCTGAGGTTCCAGCTAAGTTACTCTCAGTTCTCTGGGGTGGGTAGTTCTACAATCCTTGTCTTGCAGAGCAAAAGAAACAGAATTAGAATAAATAAACTTTCCCAAGACCATTGAGTAGGCAAGTGGCAGGCAGAGCGAGAATTCCTGTCCTAGTTGCTGTCAGTCCCCTAGGCCTAGCTTTAAATTTTGGAATTAGATACGGATAAAAGACTCCTTGATGTGGCTGTGACATTGCCCTCTGATGTAATCCAGTCTCCATGCTGAGGCCCATGTGATCTCTCATAGGTATGCTCTGAAGAGCAGTGTGGTACAAGGACTGGACCTTGGCTTGGAGAAAGGTCATTATTTTTCTTTCCAGGTCTGCCCTGTTTCTGAGCAGCGTGTACTGGAAGTTTGCTGATCCTCCAAAGGGCAGAGGCTCCTGGCACAAGCCCGGGCTCTCATCTTCTCTCACCTGCTCTAAGTCTCCCCTCAGCTGCCAGCATCTGCTGGTACCCACAAGGCAGGGTCACCCTGTGTGCCACAGAGCTTAATGAGCACCCCCTTCGGTGCCCAGTGGAATAGGGGACTCAGTTGGGCATAGGGAGGAGAAGTAGCCAGTGATTCAGAAGGGCTGAGAGCAGGGCTAAATGAGGCATGCAGATAAACACTCACCCCTTGGCCCAGGGGAGTTGCCAGCAGAGCAAGGTGCATAATAAAAAATGCCAGTTTCATTTATCTTCCTGCCTGTGTCCTGCCTGGAGGGAGGATGAGCAGATTAAAAAGCATACTACATTTACAGGCTGCTTTAATCTTAGCACTTGTAGCTCAGAATTATAGCCTTCTCGTTCTGGAGGGGGAGGAAGTCACCCACAAAGTGGGTCAAATCCCTGAGCCCTTGTGTCCTTTATGACCCTGCCCAGTTGGTAGCTATGTAGGCTGTGGCCAGGGGTGTAGAGGTCACAATCAAAGCTAAGGCCATGGATAGGGAAAAGAATGGGGTGGCTCATGGCTTCAGTGCTTCAACAATCCTCTTGACCTTGGTCAACCTTCTTAGCAAAGGTGTCACTGGGCAAAGGGTAGCCCAGGTAATCTGTTCTAAATAGCAGCTTCCATTGACTATTAATAGCTCTACTCCAGGAAAAGTGGTTTCATTGTTAATGGTTGATTAAAACCAAATAGCTCTAAAGAAGGTACTCTCAGAGCCTTTAAACTGTCAATGTACATTGCATCTCCAAGAGGCAGGAATGGTGAGAAGTATTCTCCAAATGTATTCATTTTCACAGAACAGCTCCTGGAGGTATATTCTGCAATGTGACACCTGCTCAGAACTGCAGGGCAGGATCATAAAGGCCACATCCTTTTGATCACCTGTCATCCCAGGTCAGACCACTCTCTCATCCCATGCTCACCACAGATATAACCAACTGATTACAGCTCTCTTTATCCAATTCTGTAAGCAATATCAAAGTCTTGTCTACCTAGAGACCCAGACAGCATAGTTAAGTGATAACAGTTGCCACATGAGATAAACTCTATTGGCAGTCCAGAGACTTGTCCACATCTGGAATAATGGAGCCATAGGAAATGGAGTGTCTACACATGGCCAGTGTGATGACAGTATTGACTATTCATGGAAGAGGTTGGGAGAATAGAACAGAGGGTCTGATGCACAGCTCTGAGGACTGGAGTTTGCAGCTACCATGACCTTGCTCATAGAAATTCCTTCTAAGCTGCTCTCATATTCTGTGATAGGGGAATAGTAGTGTCATTTTCTCAGGCCAAGGCCAAATGCATTCATGCATGCATGCAATTGCATCTATCCATTCGAGAAACATTTATTAGATACCTACTGTCTTCAAATATATTGATGCTAATTTATCATTTTGGAGGCAGGCAGGGGACAGAATAAGATTCCCCATGCTATGAACTAGGGCTTGAAACAATGGGATAACTGGCTTTAAGTTGGTGGATGGGAGAGACAGATTTGCACAAAAGCGTCAAGACAAGTTGAGAAGGCTACAGAGGGCATTTGGCACTCCACATTCCTTAGTTTACAGGTACCTGTAAGAGATCTGTCCTGAGGTTTGGAACTCTGTCTCTTAAGGTAGAGAAGCCATGTTTGGATTCAAGAGTAGGGACGGGCAGTGACAAAGAGTGCTGTGGAAAACCCTTGGGAGGTCAGGAAATGCTTCTACTATGCAGCTGTTTGATGATTGCAGATGCAAACATACAGGCTAGGTGCCAGGCAGCTATGTCACAAAGTCACATCTCTGTGTCTGTCAGAGAGATCCTTCCCCATCAGCTCTTATCATCTTCATTTCAGACCAGCTGGATTTCCATAGTGTTTTCTAGATGGATCATACTTTATGCAGCAACCACACACATTTTCACTTATCTGGAGTCAGTTCCATAGACTGCCCTCCCCTTTGTGGAGTCAAGTTGTACCTGAGCAGATAGAAGGAGCCACAAAGTGAACTTCCCAGCATCTGTTGGGTCACAGTAGGTCTGGGGGATTAAATGCAGGCTAATGGGCTGCAGGAGTGGGTAGATTTCTTCACATTCTTGTCCACTATGGGGAGCAAAGGGTGGCTCCTGGTCTCTTTCTTTCCCCAAGCTAGAAGACAAGGGTACCACGTGTCTTGAATTCACAGGTAGAATCCCATGCTCTGGATGTCAGAGTTACCCACTGTGGTGGTTTGAAGGAGAATGGCCTCCACAGGCTAATATATTTGAATGATTGGTCCACAGTTATTGGAACTGTTTGGGAAGGATTAGGAGGAGTGGCCTTGTTGTAGGAAGTGTGCATCTGAGGATGGGCTTTGAAATTACAAAAGCCTACACCAGGCCCAGGTGTTCTCTCTCTCTCTCATACACACACACACACACACACACACACACACACTCTCTCTCTCTCTCTCTCTCTCTCTCTCTCTCTTACACACACACACACATACATACACTCTCTCTGACACACACACACATATACTCTGTGTGTGTGTGTGGGGGGAGAGAGAGAGAGAGAGAGTAAGACAGAGAGAGACTCTCTCCTGTGGATCATGATGTGAAACTCTCAGTTACTGCTCTAGCACCATGCCTGCCTGCTTCCCACCATAGTGATTATGGTCTAAATCTATAAGCCAGCCCCAGTTAACTCATTATAAGAGTTACTTTGGTCAGGGTATCTCTTCACAGCAATGGAACAATGATTAAGACACCCACTGACCCAGGATCATCTGCTTATCTGAGAGAAAAGTAAATGCTATTATATTCTTTAAGTATGTGTAGTTTAGAGGGCCTTCGCTCTATCAGTTTAGTGTGTGTGTGTGACAAATGAAATAAATTTCAGAGTGAAGTGTTCTTCAGAGTCAACTAGGTGATTGATTCATTCTAGCTCCCTTCAGAGTAAATCCCCTATCTAACTAGATGCCCACTTCTGTTATTGCTCCACAGAGAACAAAGACAGGGTGGGTGGGTGGGGAGAAGGGTTATGGGGGAGAAGGGCCCTAAGCCCCATAACTTTAGATATGAATTGAGACTGCTAGAGGTGGAAGTTATGGGAGGGTGGGAGACAGAAATGCGCCTGTCAGCTATTGAGTTTTGCTGCTGTTATCTAACTCCGGCTCTTGTTTAAAGGGCCCTAGGAGACAGATGGCAGGGTAGTAGTTCAGCCTTACCTGCTCAGCTCCAGTCACTGTGTAGGCATGCTGGCTCACCAGTCCATTCTCCATCACCTCAGACTCGTCTGTCAGCTGCAGAAGAGAAGGGCAGACAGAGTTCTTTGGAAACACAGAAATATATATTCAGGTAGTAGCTAAGTTAATGAACTATCCCTGCCCCCAGCAGGAAGTGTGTGTGTGTGTGTGTGTGTGTGTGTGTGTGTGTGTGTGTGTGTGTGTGTGTGTAAAAGCCTTTCCAGGAGTGTTTCATGCCCAGGAGCTACCTACCCCACTCACTGAAATCACAGGACTCTGAGGACATAGGCTGCCTCCTCCACTTACCATTTGTCATGAGCAAGACACAGCATAACATGTGTCAGCAGGGTCTCCCATCCCAGACAACACCCCTGCTTCCCGGAAGGGACAGTGTGGCTTGGCCAATGTTTAAGACTACAGGAAGTGCCCTATAGACAGGGACCCGGGATCTTAGAATAGACTCAAATTATTTGGAGAGCATGCAAACCATGAGACCTGCCAGCTTATGACTGCTGAGAACTATGACTTTTTATAAATATAAAGAAAACACAAGGAATCTACCCATAGCTATAGTTGCCTTTTCTGACACCTCAGAAACCTTCCTGTCACCCTGGTCCGCATGCTGCTCTTGGTCATAAGGAAGCAGTATATGAGGATTTGGGGGTCCACTGCATTCTCATTGTGCACAGCACCCTCTAGCTGTGTGACCCTGAGACTTCACTTAATCTCTCTGAGCTCATTTCCTTCTCAAGGATATGATTTTGGAATCCCTGTCTCCTCCCAAGCTAAGGACACTGGGTGCACACTCCCAGGTGAAGAAAAATGTCTTTACCAAGGAAGCCCCCAGCTACTCACCCCTTTTGGGGTGGCGCAGGCCACCATTGAGCCTGCCTTGACTGCGGTCTTCACTGCCATCAGTATCTCAGAGGGGGAGGAGTGCAGGTTAATGATGGTGACCACTCCTCCCGTGAGGTCCACCAGGGCATCAGGAAGGTAGCCATAGTGTATCTGGGAATAGGAGCCAAGCAGCCTGGGAGGAGGAGGTCAGGTTAGCCCTGAAGCAGGAGATTTCCCATCAACCCTATGCATGTCCCTAGGAGGGAAAGCCAGGGTGAGCCAGCCCCTAGAAAACACTGAATGCTATTTTGATGAGAATTTTTGTTGTCATTTCCTTGGTCTGAAGACACAGTAAGCCCTAACATATGTAGGGCCACCCTAGGTACATGCTCAAAGATGTACCTAGGGTGGCCTCCTCCCCACCCCCAAAGAGCTCACAATCAACATCCCCAAGTTCAGCCCAGCAATGAAAAGCCTTTGTTTTCACTCTTGGAAAACTGACCCAGACCCTTGAGTATAATGCTACCCCAGAAATGAAGAGGCTGAAAGGCTTTAGTGAAGGTGGCCTAGGTAGAGATGAGTCTGGCCATACATTACATACCCTCGTACCTGCTCTCTAGACGCCTCTCGCACCCCCTCAGCCTTTGACCTTCCATTTCTGTGCTCACACCTCAAAATATCTCTGGCCTCGTCTCAGCTTTGCCTTCTGATTTTGCTTCAGATCTGTGTTTGAACCCTGCTCATCACTTCCTGGCTATATGATGGCAGGATTTGACTTAGCCTCTAGAGGCCTGTTTCAAAAACCCATCACACATTATCAAGGTTCTGCCCTTGGCTCCCCTTGTAAGCTTTCAATGCCTGGAAGGACACTGAGCTTTCTCAGGGTCCCTTTGCATGTTGGAAGAGAAGACATATGTATTTGCCTCACTGAGGTAAGTGAATGTGGGCAGAACAGGGAAAGCCTCTGGCCATGGCCAGCATCTGTGTGTCTCCTTCTCCCTGCTCTAGGTCATTCTGTCTTCCACACCAGAGCTTGGCATCAAGACATAATCTCTTTAGAAAGGGTTGTCAATGATCACAAATCAAGCTTTCTGACCTGGTGGGGTATCTACTTCTACAAGTAAGTAACTACGGGAGATAGAAGCCAGACTGGTCCCAGCCTAGGGTCCTCAACTCTGAGTTAAGGTTCATGTGGGTAAAGAGAGTGCTGGAGATATCTCAGGGAGGGAAAATCAAGTCGGAGAGGTTCCCAGAGCCAGTAGAACAGCAGTTCTCAACCTTCCCAATGCTATGGCACTTTAATATAGTTCCCTGTGTTGTGGTGACTCCCAACCAGAAATCATTGCTGCTTTACAACTATAACCTTGCTACTGTTATGAATTGTAATGTAAATATCTGATATGCAGGGTCTCTGGTATGTGCCTCCTGTAGAAGGGCCATTTGACAACCCCCCCAAGGGGTTTCAACCCACAGGTTGAGAACTGCTGCAGTTAAGCACGGTGGACCTAGAGAGTAGACAATAGGGCTAGAGGAAGCCTGTGGTCTCAGGGAGAAAGGACATTGGAACAGTAACAGTGGTATCAATAAAGCTGGAGTCATTGGGTCAGACTCTCAGTGGGGTGAACTGTGGGTTCCTAAACTATAGCCATAGTAGGGTATGAAGGGTGGAGCTGGAGATCTGAGGATAGTCTCCTGGGTATAGGAGCTGCCCTCCCCTCTGTCCCTGATAGATCCCTGTGCATCTGTCCCCTACCGGCAAGCAGATGCAGATCCTTTCACTGGTGAGGGTCAGAGCCCCTACCACGACTCTTTGGGAGTCTCAGCCTGGGTCCACTCTCACCTTTATCAAGGTATTTGACCTTGAAGATGACCTTTTGCCATTTTGTTTTTTGGAATTTTATTAGACACAACAGGGTGGACTAGGTCATGCTGGGGCCCACAGATACTCCTATTTCTACCTTGGTCATGCTCCTCTTAGAACCACATACAATTCCAGCCAAATCACATTAGCAAATGTGTGTTAAACAGCAACTGTGTCTCAGGCACACATGCCAAGTTTGCTAAGGAAAACCCCTTATTACAGAAACCTAAGGATCCACAGACCAAAAGGGCAAATTGACAGGGTCACTTGTGACATTTACCCACATTGTTTAAAATGAGTGCTGATCTTATCTCCCCCCTCCCACCTCACTATAACCTCAAGATCAGATCAGCTTTAAATTCTTTATCTCCACAGTATTTGCTCAGTCAGTGACACAGGTTCCCTTTGATCAGGGTTATGATCAGGGTTGACTCTTGGTGTCATAGGTCTTTACTGAGGACAACTAACTTAACAAGGATCACTCCAAAGTCCATTAGTACTTCACTGAACCAGTCTTTTGTACCTGAGCCAAGGGTCCCTCCCAACTCTAAGCAGGACCCGTGAAGGTGGTTGTTCTGGTAAAGCAACCACTCCTCTTCTCTAATATATCCCATCTGGATGGCCCTGGGCTTCACCTGACGTCTGGTACCCACATTATTCTGCTGTCAAAACAGAGATAACCACACACAATGGAAGGGCTCCCTGTTTACTCTGCAACAGTCAGCACTTCTCATGTCTTCCAGAACTTTCTCTCTGTGTCTGTCCTCTGTGCCTACAGAGCCTGTTCCAGTAGCAGTTAGGTGTTTTGACAAAGAGTTGGTTTTCTTTACATTAAGATGAAGGATTGTGGATCCCGCTGATGCTCCAGGAACATGGCAATTATTCTTAGCCCCAATTGCTGACAGAAAAAATGAGGGAGGGATGGAAAGAGAGAAAGAGAGAGAGAGAGAGAGAGAGAGAGAGAGAATTCAGAGCAAGCCTGTCTGGATCTCTCTGCTTGAGCCCTGTCTTGAGGAAATGACTATCTCCATGCTCTGACAAAATAGACGACTCCAGATGTCTAAACTTGAGCCCAACAGGAGGCTGAGATGCTGCAGTTTCTGACACACAGAGACACTGAAATGGCCGATGTGCAGCCTGCCAGATCTTGTCCCCATCTCTTCAATCTCTAAACACAGATTGCTCTGCCTGACACTTGACCTATCTGAATAATTTACTTCCAGACTCCCCAGACTCCCCAGAACTGGTGGTCCACATGTCCACTGGGCTGTTTCTGTGCTCTCCAAGGGGCAGTAGCCTCTGCCACAGACAGCTATGCTTTCCATATTTGTGTGTGGGTCCCTTTGTCAGGCAACAAACAAGATGGATCTCTTTCTGGGCAACTAAAAATATCAAGAACACCATAGAAAGAAGCTGGGGGCTCAGCTCTTGGTCCCAGCTTGGTCTTGACCATTCTGACCTTGGGCATGGGATGTGTCCCCTTGGAGCCCTAGTTTTCTCATCCCTCACAGGAGGGAGGCTCTGAGTTGCTGGCATTCACTCTTGCATTCCGCAACTCTTCTCTTTGGGTGGGTGGGAGAAAAGCTTTTAAATAGCTTTAATAGTTTGAAACATTTTATCCCCAGCTAGATTTCTTTAGGTGGGAGAAATATGGGATTTGGGCCCATTCTCCCATTTCTTTTCAAGCTGAATGATTGCTTTAGGTCAGCTGTTAATAAAGTGGGGTCAAAGTCATCATTTCTGTCCCCAAGCTTTCTAATTCTCCCCGGCACCCTTTTTTTACATAAGGGGAAAAAAAAAGAGGCCCAGAAGTGATAACGGTGGGATCTAGCCTGGAAAGATAATGGAAATGTTTGTGTAAGTAGCTTAGGAGTGAATTAACCTCCCAGAATGCCTGCTCTGGTTCAACAGCCTTGGCGGTTATCTAGACTTTTTTTCTCCAATGCGAACTCACAGCTCTTCCCAACAAAAGAAAGGAGAAATAACTTCCGTTTTTTTTTCCCCCATAAATTGCCTTTAAAAAAAGAAAGAATAAACACAAAGAGATCTAGAGGAAAGCCTTCATCTAGACTGTGAATCCAGCCAGGCTGCAGCCCTACTACTTGAGGTCCTGGGTAGGTGTGCAAGAAATTCCATAGCCTATATCTGTTGTCTCAAGGTAGCTCAGAGGCTCAGCTTCATGTGTGAATGGGGAGTCTTCCAACCCTGTGTCCCTTTCTCCTGTTCCTTTTCTCTCCCAAGGATGTGGACTATATCATGGTCTTCCTCCTGTGAGCTATGACCCTCCCCACCCAGAAGTGTATTTTCTCTATGTCTCTGCCCATGCGGCGTTCTCCTGGGGAAAACACTCTCATCCATGGTGCTTGCTCACAGGGCTCGATGGCTACTGAGCCCTGGCCACGGTTGAGAAGACCAATGGGGACCCAGAATAAGCCTGGCTAGTTCAACTGCCAGTCTCTGCAACTGGAGCCTTGTAAAAAGCAGAAAATATGGTAGAAGGAGCAGACTAAAGCCAGAGAGAGGGGGGGGGGAGGAGGGAGGGAGGGAGGGAGGGAGGGAGGGAGGGAGGGAGGGAGGGAGGGAGGGAGGGAGGGAGGGAGAGGAGCAAGACCATGGGGTCAAGCTCTGCTACAAGGAGTCAGGAGGCAGAGCATCCTGAGGGAGGTGAAGTTAGTGGCCTCAGCAGAGATGAGACCTGGTGTCAGGTAGGCTGCTGGGTTTCTTCCTCCCTCCAGTCATTGAAGGATGCTTAATTTGCAATGTTTCTTTCTTCTGTGTTCTTGAAAAATGCATACAGCAGTGGCTGTAATATTAACGTCTATAAACTCTTCATATTTTTCTGTGCAGTGTTTCTTGCCCCATTTGTTTAGAGCCCGCCCTCCAAAGATTAGCCTGGGCTTAGATTGCATATGTGGCTTCTGACTGCTGTGTGGCTGTCCATGGAGTACACCCACCCCATGGTAGCTATGCATCCTGGCATGCATACTTCATACCAAATCCACAGTGCCATCAAGGACAGCCCAGGCCTGTCCCCTTAGAGCCCCTCTAGGAATGCCCTCATAGGGGTGTGACACATGCCTGTGAGTAATCTAAGAGTAGTCAAGTGGTCCTTAGAAGGTGATCTCAGGGTATGTCCATCAGCCTGTTTCCTAGATTCCCCACATACTGGCATTCTCTTGGCCTTACCTAGCTTTGACTTTTGCAGTCTGAGAACATAGAAGAATGCTATCTTACTTTTTAAAATTTGAATTTTTTCTTTTTTGGTTGTAGGAACACTGACCCTCTCTCAGGCATTGTAAGAGTCTTTAGAACAGTGCTTTACTCTATATAGATGTGTGTATGCATATCATTATACATATTCACTTCAGCCAGGCTGCTCAAGTGTCTGAGGCAGTGCCAAACACAGTGCCTGGCATATGGTAAAATGTTCAGTGGGCATCTGTTGAATAAGTAACCCTAAAAGGCTAAGAAAAACAAGTGAGCTGGGGTGCATGCAAATTCTGAGCTTGTTAGGACCACAAGGTGGCCCCTAAGCTTTCTGTGTGACCCACAAGAGAAGGAGAAAGTCCTGCTCATCTACCACTCCCTGCCACAAATGAGATCTCATAGCATCCACATGGGACCCTCAGTTCCTGGACCACAGTTTAAGTGTTCCACCCAAGTGGAAACAAATGGGCAGTGTTTGTTTGTTTGTTTTGAGACAAGGTCTCACTAATGTAGCCTTGGCTGGCATGATCCCCACAATGTAGACCAAGCTGGTTACAAAGATCCACCTGCCTCAGCTTCCCAATGCTGGGATCAAAGGTGTGGCCCAGGACATTGCTTGAATTCAAAACAGATACTGTGAGATGCAGAGCCAGCTGGCAGGAAGCATCTGTGAGGGCAAGGCATTGGGCAGGCCAGAGCCAGCACTGAAACTGGGCAGAGAGACTGGCCCACACTTACTTGGCATAGGCTTTCTCCATCAGGCAGGGCCAAAATTCCTGGTTGCCTCTTCGAGGATGCACAAAGAGGAAGTTCTTGCCTATGACAGGCAATCGGTCATCAACCACTACTTCCACCCACTGGCCACATTGCCAGAACTGGGAGAAAGACAAAGATGTGTCTTAGTATAGCTGGAGCATCAGGGAGTTTCTATAACTTTCTGGCATAAGCAAAAACATTTTTGTAACTTAACTCCCACGACCCAATAACAAACTCAATCCAGAGCAGTATCATAGCCCAAAGGGCATATGCACATCATTTCCAATGGCAAGAGGGGAAAATGAGGTGTCAATCAAGACTACAAGTCAATTAGCTAAGGGAAATCTAAGCAGGGAAGATGGATGTACAGGGTCTACTTCGACTTTGCAATTAACTGTAGCCTTATTTTGACAAATCCTTTGCAAGCTTTGATCAGACACAGGAGAGTCCAGATCTTTCTTGCACTCACAGGGCAGCAGGGGAAACATATGTTAAATTACAAGAAGAGTGGCAGGTGCAGGGCTGTGGCAGGGCAGGACAACTGACCTGGAGCTGAGGGCTCCAGGAAGGAAGCATGACAGGCATATTGAAAATGCACCTCAAATGATGAAGACAGAATGGGCAAAGGCCTCGAGGCAGAATGATGTGGCTGGCTCAGGAGGACTGAACAGTGACAGCCTAACTCTGGCTATTCTGTCCTCATGTCACACTGGCCTTGCTATTATAATAGAGAAATGAAACTGGCTGGCGCTCTTCCTGCTAAGAGCACAAATGAGCCAGATGTTCCCTCTCCAAAGCAGACTGCTTTCAAAGTATCCAACTCTAAATGGTTCACCCAGGGACATCAGCAAATGAGGAACAGTCATTCCAAAGGTAGCCTTTTAAGTTTCTTTGTTGGTTTCCATTGGGCTGTATGGAGCAGTAGGACCTCTGGTTTAGGGCTGAACTGAGTGAAGGTAAGTCCTCTCCAGGTGGGTTTGCTAAAGTGGGGTGGATGTAAGCTCTCATCCACACCATCTTTTCCACAGCTCGATGTCTCAGGTTTGTCACACCCCCCTGAGGACACACTATTAGAGACTGAGATGTCAGTGGAAACAAGGTAAAGATGTTTTCATGGTCATTAGTGAGCCAGGGCTTGGACACAACTGAATGAATGTTTCTCTTGAAGCAACCAGTAAGCAGTGTAGGCAGTGAAGTTCAGGAAACAGGAATGCTATTGAGAGCCATCAAGGAAAGCTAATCACAGTCTCCAGAGGGTAGACAAGAAGGCCATTCAAACTTTGGACTTACTTGGGTAAACATAGAGAGAATACTGTCGTCCAGTTGGTAGGACTATGCCTGAATTTTGGTTTTATCTCTTATTATCTAATAACAGTTATTAGGCAAGACCCTTGACTCCATTTCCAGTCTGTCAAATGTTGGTAAGAGGAAAGAACTATTTAGGAGGCTAACACTGAGACTAGATGAGAAAGTGAGAGGGACAGAGTAGTTTTGAGCCATTATGATTTGGGGAATTGAATGGCTGCTTTGTTCAGCAACCAGGATGGTGTCATGACAAATAAGAGTGCACTAGGACAAGGGAACTATTATGGTCAGTTTTGTCTTAGAAACCATTCTCATGTAGACTGATCAAACATGCTTTCTCTATGCAAGGAGAAGACCAGGTAAGATTGCTGTTGCTAGAGATCAAGAATACACACACACACACACACACACATACACACACACACACACACACACACACACACGGCATATGTATACAATTAATTATGTAAAACATGATGAGCTTTCATTATAATTATGCATATTTAAATAAGCATTAAACATAGGCATAAATAACATAATACAAAGAAAAAAAAATAAAGCAAATTGACTGATGGTCAGGAATGTGACCATGTCCTATTTCCTGGGTGAAGAGGACAGACATATGGACAGTGTTTAAACTTCAAAAACCATGCAGGTGCCATTTTGCCAATGTCATGGGCCTGACATAGAAATAAGAATTCTTCTAGGCAAAGCATCTGAGGTGCCTGGGTACTGTGTCCTTTGTAGAAACAGTGCAAGTTCAGAGTGTTATGGAGAGACCTATGGAAGTCAGAACTGGAGTTGATACTGGGGAGCTTTTACTACATTTGTTGGTCTCTCTCTCTCTTATCTCTCTCTTCTCTCTCTCTCTCTCTCTCTCTCTCTCTCTCTCTCTCTCTCTCTCTGCCTGTGTGTAGATCAAAGGACAATTTGTAGGAACCAGGTGTATCATTTTGCCACATGGGACTGGCTAGTTTACCTTAGGGTAAGGGCAGAGTGTATTCCACTGGATCTTTGATTATCCTAACCATATAAGGCATGGCCCAGCAATGCTAGCAGTCCTATGGCGAGCCTGTGCTCAGTTCAGTTCCATATGTTCTCTGGTGCCCCTTAGTGTGGCCTTTGGATCACTACCAGTACCAACATCACTAATGACCCTGTTAGAAGTATTGGAATTTGTAAAGAGGGGAACAGGATTAAGAAAAAAAGAGGACCAGCAATGATAGAATATAAACTAGCAACAGAAGAGGTTAGTCTTTAGTCTGAATGTCTCATTCACCTTCAGGAAAGAGTATGTGTGTATTTATGTGTATATATTTGTATAGATGGGCATGTGTGTATGTATGCCTGTGTGTGTGCATAGTGCCATGACAGAGCCATCTCCATAGTCCAAGAATAATTATTTTAAAAGTTACGTATGTGTGTGTGCATGTGTGCACACGCATGCACGTGTGCATGTACATGTGTGCATGTGTCCATAGAGGCCAGAAGATGATATCAGTTCCTTCAGAGCTAGAGTTGAGGGCAGTTAAAGCCATTCAATGTAGATGCTAGGAACTGAACTCAGCAAGAGCAGTATGTTCTGTCAACTGCTGAGCCATCTCTCCATTTCCCAAGAGTAATTTTTAAATGGTATACATCTGAATGTACTCTAAAGAAATTTCTGAATTCCAAGGAGAGACAGCCACTTAGAGACTTGAAGTTTGACAGCACATTTACATATAAAGTTGACTGACACTGGACTTTTCCACAACAATGGAAATAAGACGATAAGACAATGGGAGTTTTGAGGTAAAGGGACATGACAGGATAATGCAGATGGCAGAGGGTGTGTCTGTGTGTCTACTATCAGGCACATGTGGAGGTCAGAGGACTACCTGCTGGAATTGGTTTTATCCTTCTACCATGTACATCCTGGGTCTTGAACATGGGTCATCAGGCCCATCTTTCTGGCTCACAAATAACAAGGTAATACATGAACTATCAGAGAATCTCAGGATCAACTTTAAGACATTATATTGAGAAACACTCTTCCTGGTAAAGCATAAATATTAGTAGGTAACTCCAGTTATCTGTGGGTATAAGGACAAATCTTTAGATTATTGTCAGGGACTGTGGTGATTTAGTAAAGTAATGGTTTTTGATTCTCCTCCAAGATAAATGACTTCATTAGCACTGATTAGTTAGGTAGGTCCCCAGGACCAGGAATGTTTTCCCTCTTATTGAGAAGGTATAAGCCCAATTAGAGAGTTGTTGGTTACTACCAAGGTCTGTGAGCCACTACAGTACCCGCAGGGTTATTGTGCTATGCTGGTCCTTGTTGTGGTTCATTGGCATCATAGCTAGGTAGGATTGTTGGTTGTCTCCCTCCTTCTGGTACCCTGAAAGCCAGTTCTCATACAGGTGAGTAACATTAAATGGATGGAGAAGATTATGTTTAGGTATATATGTATGCATGTACATATACATACAGGCATATATTAACAATTAATGAAAAAAGAGGCCATGAGTTTGGCAGAGAGCAAAGAGGCATATATGGAAGAGTTTGGATGGAGGAAAGGAAAGGGAGAAATACTGTGGTTATATTATCTCAAAAATAAAAATAAAAAAATAACTCCAAGAGAAACTAGTGATGCAAACCAATTAATAGTGGCTGAATACACCAGTAGAGTTCAGGAAGTCATATTTTCAAAAGAGGTGGAGTGAGTTAATGTAACTATTGTCTATTATTCTTTGCTTTTTTTCTACTTTGCTGAATGTTTGATTAGCAAACACTACGCAAATTATTTCAAATAACAAACTATGTAATAGTTCACTTTACAGAACTAGTATAACTCAAGCATGATTAAAAAAAATAACATAATGCAGACAGTAACTTCCAACATGACCCAGGCACAGAGATTCTAATGAAACCCTTAACCAACTGAAGCTGGCAGCACCAGGGAGACCCCTTCCTGAAATCAAGAGGAGGTAAGAATCTGACTCTTGTCACTCTGATTCAATGGGTATGACAATGACAAAAGAAGAAAAATAACAACTAGGGGCCTTAAGGGAGAAGAAACAACTCCATCTGCTTGAAGATCACATCATGAGGTAATTAAAATATTCCAGATTCAAACACAGATTAAAAAAAGGGGGACTAGAGAGGGAGTTTGGCAAGGTGTCCAGACACTTTACTGTGCAATAGCTGGCCATTTTTCTCTTTTTCAGCAACATCTACTTGGAAAGTGGTGTGGTGGTGGTGGGGGGAGCCAGAAGAACTTCACATTGGCTATAGAGTTGTAAAATACTGGAGAATAAATTTATCAAGAAGTGTATAGCACCAATACGAAAACATAACTGTTAACATTTTATGGGAAAGCATAAAACCACTTCTGAATAAATAGAAAGATATACCATGTTTCTGGAAAGGAATAATTAAAACAATAAAAATGTAATTTTTCCAAATTAATACATAAATTGCACACTGTTCCATTCTACATCACAATGGCTTTTCTGTTTAATTAGACAAAATTATTTTAAAATTCCCAAGGAGGAGAAATGTGCAAGGATTACCACAGTATTTGAGAAAAGAAGAATGGATAATGAAACAGAACATATCTTCCCAGATGCTCAATTTCCTACAGTACTTCTGTCACTAGTATCATGGTGTGGTACAGGAATAAGAGACAAGGACTCGGTGGTTACTGCCATTAGGTTCTAGGTTCTTTCACTACTTGTCACATACCCCTCAGAATATGCCCAAAGGACTCCTTTGCATCCTGATCCTACCATTTCTATTTCCATGCAAACATCTCACCTCACCTTCTCTATGTGTGGCTGGGCCATACATGAAAGGCAGAACCATGCTTTGGAAGAGGAAAGGTCATTAACATATGGATGTCACTCCCAGTTCAGGCTCCCAGGCCTGACTCACAAGAGTTCCCCATCATAGAAGGAGTGAACTTGTGGTGCACATACCCGGAACCGGAAAATGCCAGCATACTGGTGTGAATAGCTTTGGCCCATCAGGATCTTCTGCAGACACTTTGGGTTCTGGGTCAGGGAGCCCAGTGCTGCCAGGAACCAGCAGTCTCCTGGGAAGGAATAAAGCCATAATGGAAACTGATTGTAACCAGAAATCACACCCCTTGAATTTACAGGTTGTGGATACCAGAGTTAGCAAATCTTCCTATAATAGAGTGAATATCAATCAGAAATCTTTGAGATCAGAACATTTTCCAATGATTTTAAATTTTGAACTATTTTCACATACATTATAAACTATTGTGGGAATGTGACCCACATTTAAATATGAATTCCTTTAATGCTTCACATATATCTCTCTCATACACCCAAAATGGAGGTAAATTTAAGGCTTATTTTTCACACCTGTGTTTTGACCATGACCTTTTGTGTGAGCACAGGTATGGAGCTTCCTTCCTGTGATTCTGTGTTGTACTCACAGCATTTCAGAGTTTGGAACAGTTAAAATTTTGGGGTTTGGAGTTAAGGGTAGCCAAGCTATGCTGAAGTTTTGCTCTCTGAGGGAGGAATGCTGTGGTGAGGATTTACTAAGCCAGTTCCAAGTGAGATAGAGAGGAAGTGTTAGTGCTGGTGATATAGGTATTGGGGGTCATGGGTGGAGCAAGGTCTGGTGAGGAAAGCCAGGGAAGCACCAACTAGGCTTTGGCAATTAAGGTGTCCAACTTGCTCCCTGTTTTTTTTTTTTCCTAGAGTTTTCCAGGGCTGAGATCCAGAATTTTTTTCATGTTTTATTTTTATTTATTTATTTATCACAGAACAGAATTGGCAATGGTACTTTATACAATGCAGAAAATGCACCTGTGTTTTTCTTTGCTAATGTTTTCCCTACCCCTTTCTATATAGGGAACTCTCCAGCCCATGCAGGCATTTTCTCTGCTTCCTCTTGATGGATGAGTAGCCTTGACCTTCTCCACAAGTATTGATGTGAGCTCTTCTAAATATGCTTCCCTCCTGTCTCAGTCTCCCCTTTCATTGTCAACACCATCAATTCTCTGAATGGTGGGCACTGTGCTCAGAGCAGAAATGGCAGAGACCCTCAGAGGTGTCCTTCTTTTCTCCAGTTAGGGGAAACTAATGGGAAGATTACAGGCTGATAGCTGGCTAAGTGTCTATGAACTTGGCTTAAGACTATAATTTCCCATCTGGGTGCGGGTGGTACACACCTTTAGTCCCAGCACCTGGGAGATAGGAGCAGGCTGATCTCTGTGAGTTTGAGGCGAGCCTGGTCTGCAGTGCTAGTTTAAGGACAGCTAGGGCTGTTGTTGCACAGAGAAACTCAGTTTTGATCCTCCCCCCAAAGATTATGATTTCCCATTAGAAGTCCAAGTCAAAAGGCTGGGATTGGGGCTGTGGAGTTCTTACCTGCTCTCCCTTGCTGGATGTCAAATCTGCTTGCACCTTCCAGGATGAAGTGAGGAGGGTCCTCTGATAAATCCTTACAAAAGACAATGAAAGGCTATAAGCCTCTTTCATCCTTTTTGCCTCAGTGTGGTACCCACAGCATCATTCACTTTGTCTTTGAGGGATAGAGGTTAATTCTTAAATAGGTGCTTAAAATAAGAATTAGGAAACTTTCCTTTGTTCTTTGGGTTTTATGGATCTTGGGAAAGCAGGTGTCAAAGGGGTGTGTATGTAGCTGACAAGACAGGCAATAAACGCACAAAGAAACTACACAAGGAAACTTCATAAATAAGGTCTGAAGATCTTTATATCAAATAGCAGTCATCCTGTCTGCTCCCAACAAGCCTGTGTTTTATTAGATGGTTATAAACAAATAAAAGTGAATAGGATCCATTCGTCAGAAGAGACTTTGAAAAATATCAGGACTACACTTTCTCTGAGTAAAGCTTTTCCTAGAAAATGGCTGTCTTAGTTGGGGTTTCTATTGCTTCAGTGGAACTCCATGATCAAAAAGCAAGTAGGGGAGGAAAGGGTTTACTTGGCTTACATTGCTGCTCATCACTGAAGGAAATCAGGACAAGAACTCAAGCACTTCAGGAACCTGGAGGCAGGAGCTTATGCAGAGGTCATGGAGGGTGCTACTTACTGGTTTGCTTTCCATGGCTTGCTCAATCTACCTTCTTATAGAACCCAGAGCCACCAGCTCTGGGATGGCCCCACCCACCACGGACTGGGCCCTTAGCATTCATTTCTAACTGAGAAAACGCCTTACAGCTGGATGGAATAGAGGCATTTCCTCAGCCTGGGCTCCCTCATCTCTGATGACTCCAGCGTGTGTCAAGCTAACACACACTACCAGCAAGTACAACTGCATACCTCAGAAATCAGCTTGGTCAATCACAACTCACATGCTACCTGGGACATGAGGTTAGAATTACTCAGATCTTTGGCTCTCCCTCGCCTCCTCACAGACTGAGTCTGGGAAACCTCTATCAGTCCCTGGCATCTAGTCCCCAGTCACACCCCCACACTTACCTGCCACAGAAGAGGAATGACACGGTGTCACAGTGTGGCATCTGGGAGAATTTGGAGGACTCTGAGCAGATATGAATATTATAAAAATTTCTAATCTTTTGGGCACACCGGAGTAAAGCAGTGCTCCTCTTCCAGAGTCCCCCGGCCCTCTAAACTTGCTTCCTTCAGGGAGGCCCCTGTAACCTCTCTGTGTGACTCTTTTACTGTATATGTTTGCATAATTTGGTAACTGTTCCACTATTGTTTCCTTTCACACTAACATAAGTCCACAGAGAGCAGGGCCTCAGCAGTCACAAACGGACAGAGACCTACAATCTGCATTTTCTCTAGCAAGGGCATCTTCCTACCAGCCTTCATTCGCTTTCTTGGCAATGAATTGGCCCCATAAGATGCCAGGAGAGGCACAGTTTGGCTCTCTGATGAAGCCTTCTGTTACAACCATGGCCAGGGTATAAGGATTCAGGCATTATTCTGGCCTGCCTATCACCTGGCAGAATGCACTCAGGCAGTACCCTGATCAGCCCAGGTACAAAGGACCCCTTTAAAAGAAAGACTCCACCCACTTACGCTTTCTTTTTTCGCCCCCTCTTTCCCTCTGTTTTGTGCTATTCCCTGGGGCAGACAGGATTTTTCCTATCTCCTCTTCCCTTCCGTCCCTTTTCTGTCTCTGTGTCTGTTTATCTTTTTTCTCTTTTCTCTCCCCTCCCTTCCCTTTCTAATAAAACTTCTCACTTAAGCTCTGTCTGCTTAGCATGTTTGTTGTGCCCCGCCCCCTGCCTCATCATCATCCTTGGAATCCACCAAGGTTCCTCATGCTTATTCCTAACACAGGGTGTAATTGGAAATCTACCTAGTTCACACAAGTAGGAAAAACTGTTCTGAGGGGCCATAGTCCTATGCACTGGCTGTGGAGTTGGTTTTAAAACAATGTGGGTATGCTTTTTGACCATGGATTGTCCCTTTTTCTACTGGGAAAAGAAACTAGAGGTCTCAGAGGAGGCCTGTTATCTGAATGAAGACATTCAGTTCTGATGCTCCACTCACAGGAACTGGAAACGAAGGTAGAAGCCCAGAGAGATAGCTCAGTGGTAAAGTACTTGCCTTTCAAGCAAGCATGATGACCCGAGTTTGAGCCCCAGACCCTGCATTACAGACCTGCTCAACGAGAGGGAAACCATGCTATCTACTAGAAAGAGAACCTACAATGACTACCTTACTAAACTAGCATAATCCCTAACTACTTTCTAAGTATTTATCCTTATACTCATAGGTAAGTATAGTTCTTACCCCTCATTGAAGAAACATCTCTTTGCAACAGGTGGAGATCATTAGAGAAAGCCACAAATAGTTAAAATGTAGAAAACAGGAGATCCTGTGGTTTCCAGTCCCAACTGATACATCTACAACACAATTGTGGCACCTAAGGCTCAGGTATGATTGAGGAAGAGGGGGCAGAAAGATCATAAGAGCAAAAGGAACAGGAAGTTTACTGTGAGATTCTGTCTCCTTGAATGCCAGGGAAGCTACTCATGTGAACTCTCCTCAACATGGCTGCCTAAACACGAGATGAACAATGGTGGTACCAATAGACATGATAGCATGGAAGGGGAAAGCCCATGAGGTTTTGACACTAGAAAACTACAGGTAGTCAAGGGATGCCAAGAGTGGGAGAAATAGCCATCCCCAGGGAACAGCCCCCAAATTGGTTATTCAATACTGAATGGTCAGCCCTGAAATCATACACCTATAATAATTATCTGGACTGACTATGTTGCTTTTATACTTTAGGAGTGTGTGTGCGTGTGTATGTGTGTAACAATAATTAAAGAAAAAGAGGTCATGAAATGGAAAGAGAGCAAGGGGAGGAGGATCCTGGAGGGGTTAGAAGGAGAAGAGTGAATGATGTAATTATACTTTCAAAAACTAAAAAAAAAAGGTAATATATATACATATATACATACATATCAGGAGTGATATAGTAATTTATAATTCCAGCACTAGGGAGGCAGATACAGGCAGATTCTTGTGGCTTACCTACCAACTAGCCTAGCCTACTTGGCAAATTTCAGGTAAAAGTGAGAGGCCTCATTTCAAAAATCAAGGTGGATGGTACTTTAGGAAAGATGACAGCTGAGATTTCCCTTAAGCTTCCATGTGCTCATCTATACCAGTGACCTATACACCTACATGCACACATGCATACACATATAACAGGGAAGGTGAAGACCATGGAGGTTTGGACCAGGAGCATGGCCAATCTTATAGTTAGTTTTATCCATTGTTCAGCTCTTCAGCAGCTGCCCTGTAGTCTTTGCTCTGGTGACTTGCACAGGAGGGAACTGTAGCTGGAAGGTCCCTGCAGACAGACTGCATATGGAATCTTGCCCTGACATTTCTCCCCAGGTGACCTAGAGACCTTGAACACTTCCTTCTTTACTGTAGCTCATTGTCTTCAGGTGTAACATGGGTAACATGGTGACAAAGGTATAGGAACAGCTGAGAGAATCAAACTGAGAGAAGCAGGTGATGGCTGCCATTTATAAAACTCTCACTAAGTGGTAGATGCTGTACTCCTAGGCTATTCCCTGCAGTCTCCAAACGGACTCCCAAAGCAGGCTGAGTCCTTCCATTTGCAAATGAGGAAGGATGTGGAATGCTTTAATACAGCCTCTGACAGAGTGTGTGTTCAATAATTATTGATTCCTTTCTCCTGTGTGACAGCTGCAAAATTAAAATGGCTATGCTCATAGACAAACCCATTGCCTTGAATGCATCCATTATTAAACAAGACAGAATCAAACATAAATTAAGCAGTCAATTCATAGATAATAGAAAGAAAGGGACAAAAATGGGAGGAAGTGATAATGAAAACAACCTGAAAGTTATAAAATAAGCCAGAAACACAGCAAGAATAATAAGGTAAGGATATTGTTCTGTCCTGGATAGTGGCTTCAGATAGAACTGCTTTGATAAATATGGTAGAGAAACACAAATACAATTAGGAATAAAATTGGGTTTTATAAATATAAAAACACAGCAGAAAATTTTATGCTGATCAATTAAAAAATACTAATAATGACAAAATAAATTAGTAACATCCCAAATTAATAATCTTGGTCATTATTTTTAAGATTTCAAAGACTATCATCTTAGTAATTTTCCTGTTGAATTCTCTCAAACTTTCAGGGGGTAAAGAGGTCCTATATCATTTACACTTTCAGTGCTGAACAAAACAAAAAAAGAAAGAAAGAAAGAACTGTACTTCCATTTAAGAAGCCAGTGAAATCTTATGTACAATCTGAGAGTAAACACACAAACACTAATGTATACACATGTGCACACAGACATGCATGCACACACATGCTGACATAACAAACCAGACTGACTTAGACAATCTGGAAGGAATGAAAAATGCATGAATATTTTCATTTAGGATCTATAATAATACAAAGAAGCACTTACATGGACCAAAAGGAGGAAATTTTATTCTCCTTTGCTAAATGCTATGAAGGTGTTTGATGAACACACAAACTTTTACCAAAATAATGGAAGTTATAAGTAAAAGAACAAAAAGTTACTCATTATGGACAGAATAGATCTGAAATCAAAACATCAAGTTTGCAAGCTAACAGTGAAACTGACTGCATCAATGGTGAACACAGTATCTCAAATTCTTGTCCCTCAAGTGTCAGCCCCGTGCCTCATGCTGGGCTCTACAACCTCACCCTCAATCCGAGCGGGAAGGTGGGAAGAGGATGAGAACAATCAGAGCCTTTCAGGTTGTCCATCTGGCTTCCTCAAGGAAAGGCCCATATGGAACACATGTAACCATGACTGAGAAGGAGCAAGCTCTGGGCCTGGGAACTTGGCAAACCAGGCAGTGAGGAAGTTATTCTGATAAGATCCTAGAAGAGATCTGTGTTGAAATACCACCAGATAGTGACTCAGAATCAGCTGGCTGCCTTGTAGACCTGAAGACCGTGGAGACCCGCCTTCCAC